CTCCTACATATCAACCCACTTTAGGGTGGCCCTCAGACATCGCCCGTCTATTCCAAGGGGGCCGGGAGCGGGGAGGTCAGATTGACAACTTTCGGTATCCCATTTCAACTGCCCCTTGGCATCGCCCGTCCATTCCATGCGGCCGAGGGGCTGGGAAGTCAATTCGACACTTCTGCCTCCCTGTCTCCAACCTAACCCTCGCCGCAGATGACTTAGGGTGGCACAAGCGCTCAAGAATTCCGAGCTAGACTCGACGGGTAAAGAAGGAGCAGGAGATTGGTGGTGTTGGAAATGGTTCTGGTGTCTGTCTTACCATCGTTGTGTCTTTACAGAAAGGAATAAAAACTGAAATCACATCACTGCATCCTGTCCCTGTGCATCGAAATACACTGAATTATCGTGACTGATCGTAAAATCCCCGGTTCCTATCTGCATTGGCTCTCAAGAACCCATATGTCTATCTTTTGATTGTGTTGCTGGTACTGGGCTGGACTTATCACCTACCATCTTCCACCACTACGCACAGCATCACTCTTTTGGAAGTGCTTCATCGCTACCGTACATTTCGAGCATCCAACATATACTCTATCACCTGTTCTTCTCTTCTGTGCTTACCGTCATTTGTGCATGCGAACTCCCTATCTCCTGAGCCCTGCCAATCAGCCATGTAGTATGAGGTTACCACAGTTCATGCGAGGCTATCTACGGGCAGCTAACTATAAGGGATGGTCAAAAGCTAATCAATATTCTCGCAAGATGTACCTCGCATCTTATCCCCTCTACCGGCAATTGCGCGGGTAGTATCAACTGATAGGGTCAAAAGGTAACAGCCGCTTGCCGTGCCGCCCCAGCAAACTTCCTTTCCTAACTGTCAAACTTCCTTTGTTCACACTCTAGTTCCTAGAAACGATGTCACTGTCCATGTAAGCAAATGCGTGTCGTCTCGACCCCTTTCGGGGCGCTTTTGCCATAGAGCGGTACCCGACTAGAGTACGGCGCGGGTTTCGCTCTACACGACTCAGCTACGATAAAGCACCACCCATCGATCGGTTTCTCACCAGCTCAGCTCAGCTCATCTTTGTTTCGGTAAGTTATCAGTCATGTTAAGCCTTGGAAGTAGTTAACTTCTGACACGTTTCTTCTAGGGCCAGCGACCTCGTCGATCTCGCAAACCGCTCGCGAGACTCCGTCACCTCAGTACCGATCTTCTTCTCGAATACCATCCCGATCAGCGCGACATAGTTGTCTCAACTTTCTCCGGAATACGGAACATAAGGAACCGATGATAACTTCCGAACTGCAGCACAGTAGAAGTTTCAGCTACCACATCAGCCTGCTCGTGAGGTGATCTAGAACATTGCAGGTCAGTTCAGGTCCTACTTCAGCCGTCCTACTATTGTGCTGTATTAAGCGGGAAAAGTGCCGTAGCCTTGGCATGCTCTTCATCCTCGCTACGATACACGAGACAAATTACTGTTACTAGCTCGGCGTTCGGAACGAGCAAGGAACAGGCCGACATACGTCGAGTGGTAGCGATACCGAACTCTCGTCCTTTTCCCACGGCGCAGTGACGACGACACAACACCGATCGGAGTTCGTCACAGCAATCTACAAGCATATGGCCACTCTGACTTCGTATATTCGATTACAGAACTTCCATCCGAAGGTTTTGGCAACGACCGAAAACTCTCCATGCTGTAGCAGTCGTACGATGGGAAGTCAGGTGCGGTTGGCCCTGTTGAGAACGACAGTGCTTTGTTACTTTGTTTCGGCCGAGTGCAATGTGACAGAAGCACAGCCCTACGACCATACGACTGCCAATCTCATTCATGGTACGGAAGCGAAGCAAGCTAGAAGTGCGTAAGAAGCTTGGCTTTATGGGCGGTCAGGTAGTTGTCAGGAGATTTGCCATCTAAGGCTTAGGGCGTCGAAACGAAGTAGCCCAAAAGCCAGTCTAAGTGCTAGTCTAAGCTAGCATAAGGTAACCAAGTTATTTCGTCTATTATGGTCTCAGCGGCCAATTCTCCTGACACATTGACGGCAGTTTAGACATATCACAAGTACACAATATTATGACAAATATATATCCCAAGAAGCTTCCATTCACCTATCAATTGAGAATGTCTCGGTCTGTCGGCTTTCTGGTGAATACTTGGCACCTTTGCCATGTGGTCTCCCGGACAGGGGTAGAGGCTGCTGCGCCTTACCCCAACCTTGGAGAGGGAATCACCGAAGTCAGAACATGAGATTGGACCCTGAAATCACAATGAAGGCAGTGCATAGCTTTATTGTAAGTCTACACGCCAATCGCGGAAGCTCGTCCAATCTACGCCGAACCAAGACCAACAACAACGAATGTTCTTGGCGTGTCGTTGGACTACTATATAAACGACAAATGATCACTGCCAAACTGCTTAATCAAGACAGTCCATATTCGCATAAATAAACTCGAAAATCATCCAACATGCCTACTGCTACGGAGTTCTTTGGCCTGACCATTACCAATTTTGGTCCTCTCACTACAACTTATACTCCTCCACCCTCATGCACCGCAGGGACAACCGACCACTTGTTGTACGCTATCAGTAACGCGACGACTATTCTTCATGGCTCTCCAACGTGCGACCGTGATCCAATTGGAGATTGCATACCTGAGGGTTCCTCCTATGACGCCCTGACCTCCAAGATTTCCAATGCATGGGACCTGGGTTTCCTCAACTACCATTCGCCCGGTGTCCATTGTCCTAAAGGTTGGACGACAGCTGCTGTACTCGAAAATGGTGAAGGGGCGGCATCTGAAGTAAAAAGCGGTGTCTTCACCAACACCGATACACGATTCGAGACACCCAGCGATCCAGATGATCCATCAGTTCTTGGCCCGAATGAGATCTGGCCACGACTCCTGGAACCGTCCGAAACACTTGTTTATTGTTGCCCAAGGTAATATCCCATATATCCACCTACAATCGCTGTTTTATTGATGTCTGGTCTCCAGTGGATGGACCCCTAATGTCTGGGGAATTTGTATCACTTCCATCGAATCCCTCGATCCAGCCAAGTACACTGGTATTTGTGTCCGAGAATACGGTACTAACTTCCCCGATTGGAAGGTTGTCCACACAGCTGAAGGAGAGCCGGTGTCCAACACCGCTGGTGTCATTTCTGGCGTTCCTTTCACAGGTACATTCACCGAGAATCTGGAAAAGATCACGGATTTTCTTGAAGGAGATAGCTATACTTCTACGCTTGTTGTCGTCAAGACGCTGCCTGCTGTTGCGTTGGTACACCATCTTTCGGATCTCGAGGCCACTGCAATGAGTACTTCGGATGTGAAGGAGACTGAGACTGGTGGGAGCGATGGAGATGATCAGCCTGGGGAAGTCGGCGAGAATGGAAGCGCGGCGTCGAACTTATCAAAAACCGCAGGACTTGCACCTGTTGTTGCCGTTCTCGTTGGATTGTTTACTGGAATCGGACTTTTGGCACCGTGGTAAGCTTTCTCTCAGACGACGTCGTCGGTTGATCTTTTGCTCGGTGAGTTCTGTCGAGGCCTCGTAGTGGTCAGTGGTCTATCGGGGTTTTAAGGAAGCGCGGTTGTCGAGTCAGTACTGAGGTTGGTTGCTGCTTGGTCTTGCGCTACTCAACGATCGTGGACGGGGTGTCGAAGACTCAGACAGGAGTAGTAGATCGGGCTTCGGACCCAATAGCGGAAGTCGTCCATCGATAGAGATTTCTATGTTTCAGAGCTTCGGTACATAGGTAGGTAGGTAGGTAGGTAGTCTTGTTGGATGGTACAGGTAGTCGTGGAGTTGAGATTCTCAAATGTTATAACTGGCAGCGTTCTTTCTTTGCACAGATCCTTCCAACTGGAGTCGCGGGCGTGACTTGACCTCGAATCCCTCTGCTACATAGAATTGGTCGTTTCCCGATAAACTAGGTACGTGACTACTCTATACAAGACCCCGTTCAGGTTTTCAGTGCAAGTTTTGATAGCCGGCATCCTGTACATAGATCAGGCGTTCTATTAGATGGCAGTTACACGCGTACTTGAGGCTCTTCTGGTCGACTACACGTCTGGCTCCAGATACCACAGTGGTCAAAAAGGGGCAAGCAATGAACCCAATGGATCGCCCTCCTTATTAGACAACATTTCAAGACATGCACGAATTTTACATTGACGCTTCCCGGCCTTTTTTATACAACTGATAGCATCTATTTCCCATCTTCTTGCTCTGGAGTCTCTTTTCCGTGTATTCTCCGTCTAGCTAGTGCCTGCTCTGCTCCTTCCCCCTATGTCGGCCCAAATGACTTTTCGTCGCCCCAACATAAAGAGCCAACGCATTTTCTCTGTGCCTTCCCAGAAAGAACGGAAAGTCCATGTGAGGCTCTGGTCGGCCACCAGCGTCATCTATCTGCACGTTGGAGCGAGTGTTTCTCACCATCCTCGCATCCTACCTGTACAAAGACATTGGGAGAGATAGATCAAGATAGAGCTGTAGTAATATTATCATCACTTGCCGTAGAATCAACTCGCCTCAAGTGATCCCCTTCTATTTGGTGCTGTAGTCGTCGATGGTATTCCGTTGGGCGGGTCAGGCAGCCAATGCCCGTCTGCCTTAGGAGTCACGATGGGAAGGAGCCAGCTCCGTGCTTCGTCGACGACATGACGTGAGCCTCCCACCCGCGCACCTTCCCTCTCGATGTCCAACGACGAACCATAAAATCCTCTCCTCCCATCCATCCGTCCTCGTCTTCTTCTCTTCTTCATCATCCCATTCCATCCCAACATCCTCACCTCCTGTTCATCCCAATCTTGTCCCTCCTCTTCCCTGACCATCCTTTCATCCTTTCCAGAGTTCTCTTTTCTTCTTATTGCGCCATCGTTCTCCTGTTCGTCACATTCATGTATCTGTTTCCCGTCAGCGACTTCGTTCTTTGTTCTTCGTTTTTCCAGCGTCTTCCTGTTCAATCCTGTCAGCATCACTTCATGTTTCCTTTCTTCTGCCCCTTCAGCGTTCTCATGTATTTGCCCATCTTGTACCCCCCAGAGACTCAGATTTGTTGACCCTTTGGGTCGATGATCATCACCGTCTCGTGCCCTACTTGATACGAACAGCCCATTCAATGGCTACTTCGTTCCCAGCTAGGGCTAAATTAACTTCATGCTGTCCGGTGTTTCAGTCTCATCCAACGCATTCGGGGGCTGCAACCCATTCTGTGGTTGACGGGGTGCTGGGTGGGGAGCACCCCATAGGTATATGTCTTCCACATGTGACAACGCATGATACATTTTCCCCCAGTGATCCCTCTGTGAAATCCGCTCGATTATGTGAACTTCCAAATGTTTTGTGCCACTTCCAGACTCAGCCATTTCCATCGAAAGCCCAAATGTGTGTTGTGAAACAACTGTAGACTGTGCATCATTGTCTGCGTGACGTGCCACCTCGTCCCAACATGGAGTGGTCAGCTCCCGGCGACACCCCTCGTGAATCTGATGCGTGAAGTCTCGGTGAGTTTCTTGTCCTTATAATGGAAGAGGATCAGTATGACTTACCTTGCCCAATCTACCCAACTTGTCCCAGCTATGGTAGTTGACACAGGTAGGGTCTATATCCCAGCTGCCACAAGATTCTGTTGACTAACCAACAACAACTTTTTTTTGTCTCATGTTCCCTTTCTGTAGCTGCTTTTTTCAGGCAGCCACTAAGTATGAGGAGAGGGAAAAGAAAAAGTGTTGGGCAAAATAGAGGGAGAGTGATCTTTATACTTGCCGGCGAGTGGGTCAGCCTGAAAGCTTGAGGTGCACTGCACTGCACAACACTGGGCAATTTATAAAATTCAGTCTGCTAGAAAGCTTCATCTCTTCCAAAGTTTTCAGCTTGAACATGAGTCATTGCTGCCATCGAAGTCTCACGACATACTTTGCGTACCTATCTAACTATTGAGATTGTAGTCAAGGTAAGATGTCGCGTGGTTGTGTTCCGCACCTATTCCGCCCCCGCAGTCGCCCCTCCATCACTCATACGCAACTTGACTTTACACTCACACATTATCAACCTTACATACATACAGCCTCACAATGGGCACAATCTCTATAAGAAAGTTTATCCGCTGGCTTCCAGATGAGCCCTCTGAACTAACAACAACGTTTGTAATCACAAGCCCCCGACTAAAACGCTTCGTCGATCTACGCATCCTTCTACCAGAGGGTGATTCCAGCTGGACTGGCCAAGATGGTACTTACACAAAGATCGCTTCTCGTACCCAATCCCTATTTGAGCAGTAACTAACATACAACAGATCCTCTGCCATTGTCGCGTCTAGACTGGGCCATAGCCGGCACAACAGTCTCAACCCTCAAACCCGACCCCTCAGGCACTTTGACTTCTCACTCCACATTCCACCAATGGATATCCTCCCGTGCACTAGGCGACGACTCGGGTTTCATGTACCCTCAACCCAACGAGCTCACTCTCGAGAAAGGTAGTATGGTTAATCCCGACACGGGTATTGATACCGAGTACGAAGAGCTCTGGCATGATGCCACGCCGACCGCTGTGCCGGGTGAGGGAGCTGTTAGAGCGTTAGTTCTGCAAGTGGAGGATGAGGAGAAGGATGTGAGAGGCTGTGTTGTTAGGTTGGGACGGCATGCGCAGGGGTTGATTAGAGTCGGTGAGAACATTGCGCTGGAGAGATGGGAGTGGACGGAGGGTGGGTGGAAGAGGACTATCAGGATGGGCGATGAGGCGTTGCCCATTGAGAAGATCTTGGGTGAGGAGAATCTGAAGGAGGAGGATGGTGTTGATGTTGGTGGGAGGACGTGGAAGGTTATTGAAGCCAGCGAGAAGGATGCTTAGAATCAAGAATCACAGGCCGGATGGTGTAGCATTGAAATTACATAAGGGACGAATCTTGCTTGCAAACGAAAACTCTCGATCCTTTGGGACGAGAAGCAAATGTATTCTCTACACCATTCGTGCAGCAAGACCTAATAGCCAGAGACTCATCCATAACAGTGTACTCTAACACGTCTACCAATTCCATCCTCCTCATTCCTTTTGTCTTCCCTCTCCGCCATAGTCTTCGGTATTCTAAGAGATTTCCGCAACGTCTAGACGACACACTGCCAATCAACTCTCACAAAACGCGGCTTTAATATATATCAATCCTCCTCTAGGTTTTCTTGAACCTTCAAACCCCGCTCTAGGAACGTCCTCGTCCCGTCATGCTTCTTAGAATATTGAAAGGAAGCATACGTACAAACTCGTACGCTGCTCAAACATAACGCCCACTCATGGTTAAAACAGTAATAATCAATCGATCCGCTTCCTCAGTAAGTCGAGGTTTTGAACATAGCGCAAAACAAAGTCGAGTATCGGCTTAGACAGCCCAACTGCCTCTTCGCTCTCGAACACCCCATCCAACAGGATCCATGCTGTCGAGGTTGGGATGTTGTCTAGCCCACTCCTTGATATAAGATTGCAGAGCGTGCCATCGCGGACATCTCTGATCGCGAGGCTTATCGGCCTCAGACTCGACAAGATGACCCTGAGCAAGTTGCTTCTCATCATCCTTCTCGAGATCTTCAATAGTCATCGTGCTAATTCGCGAGAGCTCACCGTCGAAAGCGCGGGCCATAGCGGGGTAGCCTAGAGAAAGGTAATTGTACACTTGCGTGACGAATGTATCGTCAAACTCATGCTCAATCTTCTCTTCCAACTCGACATGTGCCTTTTCCTTCTGCAGGCGCTCATTGATGCCATGCAACATGTGGAGCCCCTTGGGAGGACCGGCCCGTGTCCGGTGCTCTGCGACACCATTTGCCTGGCCGTTGGTCGTGCCGTTGATGGAGACAGGCTCGTCTGTCAAAGGTGGGGAGCTGATATGTGAGGCATCACCGGGACTGGCCGCCGGTCTGGGCGTAGCCAACATTGGTGGGGCATGCAGGTCTGCTGGCACCAGATACGCATCGTTCGAGTCTGATCTAAAGCAGTAACCTCGCCAGAGACCATTCTGACCCGAGAGATCCCGGAACTTCTCCTCAGCATGTCGTTCTGCGAATGGATGATCGGGTTCGAGCTTCGTCTGCTTGGGAGAAGGACACTTTCGGAAAGTGAGGTCTTTGCCGAGCATTGGTGGAGTAACACCGAATCGCTTCTTCTGGGATAAGGGAGCAGGCGATGCACGTCCGTAGCCTCCGAATGGTCGTCCAAAGGGGCGGGCAGCGTTGCGCGACGCAAAACCGCCAGTGTCTGGGGGTATTTGAGAAGATTTAGCAAACGGGGTATCTGCAGATCCAGCGGCCGGCGCCGATGGGATGAAGGGCATCGTAGATTCACCAATATGCCGGGATGCTGCAGGTGCCGGCGATGCGGCCTTGTTGCGTTGCTCTGCGGTCAGGTACGACTCAGTGTCAAGCAGCGGCATATGCGTCTCCCCAATCGGGCCACTGACTCCAATCGATGAGCGCTTACTAGTACTATCACGAGGCGTATTGGAGGTGGTCCAGACCGGATCCGGGGGGAGTTCAAGGTCCATCTTGTCGAGTTCCGCCGTGTCGGTCGTATCGTTGCGCATCACAGTATCCTCGTCTTTCTTAAAACCTGGTGTTTCTGGCTCTTCGACCAGAGTGTCCATCTCGCCAGGTTTCTCATCAATAACCATAGCATCCTCATTTTGCTGCTCCTGCTTGGATTCTGCATGCTCTTGCATATGCTTATGCCACCAGTTAAGATTGCTGTCGGATGACTGCCGCCGCACATTATGATGATGGTGCTTGCCTGAGTGGTGCTCGTGCGTGGGAGAAGTGCTCTCGGGTGACTGATCGCTTCCTGAACTCTCGCGGAAGTAGAAATGGTCTACGTTTCCTTCGCGCACATGACTGTTGGGGAAAGCAGCCAGAGCAGCCTCCTGCATCTGGCGCTCTGCCTCCTTCGCAGCGATCTCGAGCAAGAACTGGACGACATTTTCGTCTTCGGACTCGCGACGTCTGGGGCCATTGGAGGGAGAATCGTGGGCATCGTCTCGTCTTTTTCCGCGGTGTTTTGTGGCGGTGTAAATGTTCTTTGTGTAGGGGGTGATATCGGTCTTGTCGGTAGGTTTGGTAGCAGGCCCTGCATCTCCCCCTCTGCGACTCCTACGAGAAGACTCAATCAACTGGGGAGCGAAGCGTCGCTTAGGTCGCAACTGCTTCTGTTGCAACTCGTGAAGGCCAGGAGATGGCGAGCGAGGAGAGGGCTCCGGGGTCGGTTCTGGGTTTGGTCGCATCGTGTTTTGGTCATCTGTCTTTTTGGTTGATCGACTTGTCGAAAATGTGGTCTCAATGGGCTCTGGAATAAACCGTCGCCGGGGCTTCTCTGGCGTGGCCATGATGAGAGAAGAAGAAACCAGGAAAAAGGTCAGGGATCAGATTGGGTGACTCGTGCGCTGGCCGGTGCTGGACTCGACTGGGTTGTACTTGGTTTCTGAGGTGCTATTACGTTGCGTTGCGCCTGGTTCCTGGCCTGTGATAGAGGGGCAGGGGCGGACAAAAACAAGTGAGCAGTCGGGTGCTTTATTTAGCCTTTTGGGTAGAGGGCTGTTGCTGTGGGAGCAATCGAACTCAACAGCAATAAAGTAAAAGAGGTGGAGGAATAAAAAAGGGTATTGCAATGTATGAGAAAGAGAAGAAAAGGTGACGATGAGAATTAAAAAATGTGAAGGAGGTTTGCTAAAGTAAGTTGGTTGGATTGGATTGGCCTGGTCTAGTCTCTAACGTAGTGACGACAAGACAAGCAATGCAAAGAAGCGGTAGGTTGGAATTAGAAAGGCATGGAGACAAGGAGAGACCGACAACGCGGGCAGCCTTGGTACATATTTTGGCTTTAAAGAGAAAGAGCCCAGCAGTAGCAGCAGCAGGCGGGGCGATGAGAGATGCGACTACAAATGCAAATGCCTGGTCCTGCAGTGGTCTGGTCTGGTCTAGTTTTGGTTTCGGTCTGGTTTCGGTAGTGGTACATGGGTTCATCCATTTCCTATTCATCTTTATTGTCTCTCCTTCATGGACATTGGCATAACATACTGTGCGTATGCGATGCGTAGGTAGGCGTATGAATCGGAAATGGCTGGCGTCCGACGCCGGCGGTCACAAGTTCACATTTCAGTCAAATCAACCATGTCAAGGTCCCAAACATCCATGTCATCCCAAGTTCACTTCGGTCAGTCTCACTCTGTTCCTGTTCTCTCAATGGATACCGCCACAAAACTATCGAATCGCCGACCGCAAGCCCCAAGCCATCTTGGTATATCTTTTCCAACTTCCTCAAATAGCCGTCAAGAATTGGGTGAACATGTCATGGGAGAAAGCGCCAAGTCAAAAAAGATCAAGCACATGCACACTCTAATCATTGTATGCTGACTATTTTTGACATCCCACCACATGCCACCTTGGAAATCTGACGACGTGGGCGGCCTTCAGTTCCCGAGGCAAAAAAGAAGACCCCTGGAACACAAAGAAGGGAAGGGTTTTGCACCAAACCAGAGGCCCTGGCCTGGCGCTGGGTCTGGGTCTGTCATACCCTGAAAAACGCTGATCTGAAGTGAAGGGACCTGGAGTGGGTGGCGATGATGATATTCATGGTCCCATTTTCAAGGCACATGCTGATCATCCGTATCTGAAAATACCAACATTCTGGTTTTTCTCGTCAATAAACCGGGCACGAGAATTATGCACTCTCTAAACAAAACATGAAGCTCACGATGGTGTTTCTGAGTTTTAGACTACCCCAGCCATTCAAGGCGGATTCCCCGTGGGAACCATGTCTCATTGTTTCTGTCACCAAAGCCCAGGCCAGTTCTTGGTGGGGGTGTCTTGGAGTCTTTGGTGGGGTTTTTAACATGGGGAGATGAGAAGAGTAGATATACAGTGCGTTTGAGATGAGAGTCAAGTAGATACTGTGCCGAGGTCATGGTTTGCTGTCAATTGTAGAGTATCGTTGGTCTGACTCAGAGAGTACAGTACTTTGCTCTTCAGCTCACACAGGCTGGTGACTTTTCCTCAAAAGCTCTTTGATTGAGCAATGGATTCAGATTAATTACAAGCGCAGCAGCCGAGAACGGCTCCCCACGTCCAACAATTCCAATCAACCATCCTAGGCTTCAGTGACCAGGCGTTCGATGATCTCATATCATTCTTATAAGCTGCAATTATACAGGAACCTGCGTACAGTATAGAAACAAAAAGCCAAGAACAAACAAGCAAACTAAACTCACAGGCACCTGCTCGCCACCCGCTTCCGCGTCCACCGGGGCTCCTGTAGTGTTCCCGCCCGGCCCCCGAAGCCGCGAAAAGTCCCAGTCCCAGTCCCAGTCCCCCGCCCGGAGACAACCCGCTGGGAAGCCAAAAGTTGACCCGCTGAGGGCCTCCATCGCATCGCAATGGTTCCTGGACCTGCAGTTGTGTCGTCCTCACCGACTATTTACAGCATCGAGCACCCTATCCATCCACTACCGAGCAGCCTAGGAATCTAAGTGAAGCGAAACCTTGATCCCTTTTTTACACGAGAGTATCCATTTCAGTCCAGACTAATAGAGTACAGCAAGCTACAGGTAGACCGAGAATAAGCAGGAACTAGATATGCAGAAAACATCGAAAAAGGTGAAAGACGAGATGAACTAGACCCGCAAGCTCGCAGCTATTTGTGGCGATTACAGAGGAAGAAAGCGAAGCAATCCAAGAGAAGGGAATTCTCATGACTCTTTTTTGTCCTTCGTCTCTGATGGATGGATGGATGGCATTTTGGCTGCAACCCTCCATCGCCAGGTCCGTTATCTCTCTCACTGGGCGTCCTACTGTAGGCCTCGTACTTCACACCCTCTCTCGGAACTTCGCTTAGCCAGAGCCTCAACAACGCCTCCTTTTCTCTTCCATTTTTTCTTCTCGCTGTGAGATCTGATGTTGGTTGCAGAGATGCTGAGGGAGGTCTTGTGTTGCACAGCAGCCCACGCCATAGACTCACTTTTTTCGTTGAGGATGGAACTGGAATTTAGTGAAAGAGTCTCAGATGCTTTCCTTGGTTTGTAGGAGATAATCTGAGACAGACATCAGCGCGATGTCAATTTGCATGGCATCGAATACGTGTCATTCTGTTTCAACTCAAAATTTGAAGCTATCGTGAATTCAAAGTTCAATAAAAGAAAACATTGACTTTTTCCTCGTAAATTCAAATTCATATCCCCCACGCGACACGGGCATTCATCATTCATCCCATCCCCCCCCCCTCTCCTGGGCGCTTGCTTGCTTGCTGCACGCATACGCACACATCCATCTTATGCCGTCACATTCAAGACAGCCACTCATTTTTCTCAGCTTCCAACCCTCCATTACGATACGATACTGTTAGTTGGGTTGATTTCCTTCCAGCGGCTTCCGAGAGCGATAACATTATGAGAGACAACATCTGAGCACAACCTCCCTAGACCAGCCACCGCGAACCGTTGCATTCAACAGTTTCTATCCACCACCTCCAATTATGTGGAACAATCAGATAGAGGCAATCATCAGTTTCATCTTTTGTCTATCACCGCCATAGTCTAAGCAGTTGGTGATCCTCTTCTGAATGTCCCCTGTGCACAGTAAAGTACAGTACATAACCCTGTTGATCCCCCGCACTCACCGCATCCGTCCGTCCTTGTTCTATCCCCAGTTACCTTCCATCTTCCCCGGAACCGTCTCTGCAACCTAAACAGCCCTGGAAGTACACGAGACCCTCCAATACTCAAGGATCTCAACCTCCCGCCATTTCGCATCATAATGCTATCAAATGTCCGCTCTTTCATGTAACTCAACCCAACCTCTCCTGACACTGCCGAAGGCCTAATTTATCCTTGTCGAATCAATGCGGCTCTTCTTATCCTGTGTCCCTGGTACTCAGGTGACATCTGCATCTTGTATTTATCCTATTGTGCGATTCGATCGTGCTCTTGGCAACTACCTTCTCGATTGATAGACAACAACTTAGCCTGCCTTGATTCATTGACAGTCCAAGATCACGATGATTCTTTGGATGCATGAGTCCCTTTGTCTCGTGGTGTTACTATGCACACCGCTTGCAGACTGAACTGAAACCTTGATGTTTCTTTGTTGTCGGTGTCGCATCGTACAGAGCCTCCATGTCATCCTAGCTCAACGTTTCTCGTCAGCTGTCTTGATCCATTCAACATAGCTGCTGATGCAAGATAGCTAGTAACTACGTAGAGCTTGATGCTCCTTCCCTCCCCTTTGTGGCATCTCAAACCATGGCAACGAACCTTGTGCTTGTGTTATGTATCACTTGTGGTACCCGAGATGGTATCCCACTGTCTCACTTCCCCATCATGGAGTCTCCGAAGTCGGCAGTTGCCGCATTAGCTTGCTATCCCCAAGACTCCCTTCACAGTCTGTATCATCCCCCCAGATCTTAAAGATCAAAACTCCACTCGCCATGTGCTTCGGCGTACGTCCCCGCTCGCTTGAACTTACATACCCTCCTCTCCAAGTTTAGCTGCCTGCCGAGGGACAAGAACATCAGCCCTGGTTTTAACTTTTACTCACTTACGGGTTGCTGTCTTTTCTGGAATGCTCGTCTATCATCCTAGCCAACAATCTTTCTCCAAAGCGCTGATCACTTGGCGCGGATTCTAAGGGTCCCGTTATGCGTGCAGTTCGGATCTTCACGACGTCAGGTTTGTTTCCCCCGAGTCGTGCTGTGCGATCTACAGTGGTGTTTCACCTGCGCGACTCACGAAAGTGATCTGCTTTCTGATTTGCAATTGATGCTCTGCGGCTGCTTGACCTTGCGTTTGTTCCGCAGGTCCTGGCACTACGCTGAGCTTGACTGTAACTGTGGTGTGATAAGTCACTGTACTTGTGATATGATCTCTCGAGACGAGTTACCTTGCAATGGCTGCAGGTGCGTACAGCATGATAGGAGCTTTCTCTCCACCGTGAAGATCAACGAGGTTGGGTTGGACCCTTAAAGTCGTGTTCAACGTGGGCGGTGGCAAAAGTCCATGATTAACCGTAGATTTGGAGATATGGGTTCCTTATCAAGATCGATAAGTCATTATTCATGACGATCCCAAACCTAGTTGACTATTATGGATCGTCATCTACTTTTGTGGTTGTCGCGTGATGAAAGCGGCTTGCTCTCTCCAATGTCCAGGGTAGCCTAAATCAACGACATGCCACCACTATCCAGAAGTTTCATAAAGCTGTATCGTAATAAAGGTTCTCTCTTTACTATGTATGCTTTAACTGAAGCAGCTTTCTAATACCATTTAATAAGATGTACGGCCTCTGAAGAAGACAAAAGTGACTGAGATGTTGTGAATAAATGAAGCACTGTTATCATTCATTGCAGAAACCTTTGGTCAATGCTTTATTGTTTAAGGCTGCAGCATCACGGTGCAATGGATGTTGTTATGACAAACTCTCTCAACTCTATGAGGTCAATGATAATCACCACGTTTTTTATATTTCCATTGTATCGACAATCGGCAAGGGCATGGTGAAGCTATACCGACTTGCTCCGAATGGGAACTGTCATCTTGATGGAATAGAGATGTAGGAATGTCACCATTTATTATCCTGTTCTGATAAAGGGACTTGGACATTGCATGCGGTGAGCATTCAACTTAGACGTCTGGGACGTTCTCTTATGCACCAAGTGTGTATATGGTCAGTGTCTAGACAATTCACAGTACTCGACAGACACTCTTCATAAAACTTTGCCTGTCCAGTTGAGCGAATACGCGATGAAGTTCGTCAATAACTTTTGAACCTCCCTTTCAGTTATAGCAAGAGGTAACCTGATGGGATGAGGGTGAGGGTAAAGATGAATGGGCAGTGATTCACGAAGCTGCGGAGGATGCAAAGTAATGGAACACGAGTTTCGAATGAGCTCATGGGGGTTATTCCACAGAGTTCTGACTTTTCATGTATTTGAACCTCAGGTGAACGCAGCCAAGACGAACACCCGATTGAAGTCACCACACACACACACCTCAGGAGGCAGGTATCTCAAGAACAGGAACCAGTGGCAGTGAGGTTAATACCACATCGCGGTTGCGGTATACAGAGCTCTGCAACAGAATCCTTGTTGCAGAAATGGAACTGGTTGTGGTTATCTATCTCCATTTCTACTTGGTTACTCTTTCTTGCATCTTATCGAAAGGGCAATAACTATTCTTACCACAGTTACAACCATCGCATCAACGAAGTTCACAGAGAAGCCCAATATTACGATACCTACACCTCTTTACTTAGAAATCGGCTATCAAAGATCCTATGAGAACGTCTGAGGACCATCAAGATCCCCTAATGATACTGACGATGCATTCGAGGGAGTAGTCAACACCGAGTGAGAACCTTCCTCTTCAAGCTACCTAGCGCGAGTGAGGTTCAAGACATAAGAGATGAGATGATTTGGCCACTTTGTAACAGTTTAGATCAGGCTTTAGGCCATTCATTTTGGTCTCCTGGACGAAAGCTTAGAGGTACATGCAGTCAGAAACTTCATTCCCCGGCATTGGTAACCAAAAGACTTCCCTTTTTGCAAGCCATGCCGTGAAACGTCAGGCTTTTTAAGAAGCTGAATGATTCAAGTTTCGCGGAGTGCATTTTCAGAAGCAATTAATAATATCGTCTTACAACTCGGACTATCGACAAAAAAAGCTTGCACATCAACCCTCTGTCACTGGGCCAAATGATGATGCTGACAAAAAGTATAAGAACTGCACAGGTTTTATAGACTTGTATCTGAGCCATTATTTCTGTCACATTCGTTCAGTGTGTGACTTATTTTCGATACCCACTTCAACTCCTGCGCCAGGTCGTCATGGATGCTCAAACCCGCAACCTCGGTCGTCATCTCACACATCAACTTCACGCCTCGGTCACCATGTTAGTAAAAAGGGCATCACCTCGGGCGTCACATCGCATATCTCAACGAATATCTTCCCATTATATCTGCCGAAAGTCAGTTTGTCAGCAACCCTTCCCAACCTTGAGCGAACCCGCTAATCCCAACCAGGCAGTTTTTTCCTCCCGGCAAGTTCCACCTCGATGCCAAGAACCAACGCCTCCATGACTTCAGAGGGGGCAACCCGAGATTTTGACGGAGGGACTACAAAGCAAGATGGAGATCCTCTTCTTTTGTTTCTGGCTTGAGAGATTGATACGATAAAAGTGTTGTTCTTCTTTTGTGGTCAGATTGTTGAAGACAACGGATGCTATGACTAAGGCCGACGAGGAAAACACCGGTGTTCGCGCCGGAGAGGCAAGCCGGGATTCATCAGTCGATGTTGAGAAACTCGGCCGTCAGAGACCTGAAGTGTTTAAGTCAATATGGGCTGAATTGGGCTTTGGTTTCTCAGTCTTCTGCTCCATGTTACTGGCAGTAAGTCTTCACTTACACAACACACACCCGTCAACGTCTTCAGATACTGACATCATCAGGAATTTTTCGTCAGTGGATTTCATGTCATTCTTCCGCCCTTGGCTAAAGAACTCGAAATTCCTTCAGCGTCGCAAACATGGCCGTCAAGTGTCTTCTCCCTCATCACGGGAGCCATGCTCCTCCCCATGGGCCGGTTGGGAGACATGTACGGAGGCTACCTTGTTTTTAATGGCGGTCTGATATGGTTCTTCCTTTGGGCTCTCATTGCAGGCTTCAGCAAGAACTACATGATGCTCATCTTCTGCCGAGCATTGCAAGGCTTCGGTCCCGCTGCATATCTCCCGGGAGGCGTGGCACTGATGGGTAAATACTACCGCCCCGGGCCGAGAAAGAACCTCATCTTCGCTCTATATGGTGGATTCGCACCCGTCGGGTTCTTTTTGGGTATCTTTATCGGAGGCTTATCTGCTGAGTTTCTCAACTGGCGTTGGTACTTTTGGATCGGCACTATCATCTTCGCCGTTGTTTGCGGGGTTTCGTTGGTCGCCGTGCCCTTTGACTACCGAGACAGAAAGGCCGATATTCCGATGGATTGGTGGGGAGTTGGTACGATTGTGCCGGGTCTTCTTCTGATCGTTTACGCCCTGACGGATAGCTCACACTCTCCTAATGGTTGGGCAACCCCCTATATCATCGTGACTTTGATCTTGGGCGTCATGTTCCTGATAGGCGCATGGTATGTTGAAACCCACAAGGCTCGAGTTCCTCTGTTGCCGGCAGATCTTTTCGCGCCCAAGGGCATGAAGCGGTTTATGGCCGTTCTCTTCATGGCCTTCGGTACCTTTGGGCTCTTCCTTTTCTACTCGAGCTTCTACATGGAGCTGGTGCTGCACAGGTCACCACTCATCACTGCTGTCTGGTATATACCGATGTGTGTGGGCGGTCTGATCATCGGTACCGTCGGAGGCTTCACACTGCACTTCCTACCAGGACGTATGCTGCTGTTCATATCGTCCATGGCAAACGCAACCTGCATGCTGCTATTCGCTCTCATGCCCGAGGACCCTAATTATTGGGCTTGGGTATTTCCCAGCATGGTCTGCTGTACCCTCGGCATTGATATTACCTTCACAGTCAGCAACATCTTCCTCACGACTAACATGCCGAGCCACCGACAAGGACTCGCAGGTGCTTTGATCAACAGCGTGCTGTTCTTAGGAATCAGCTTCTTCCTCGGTATTGCCGACATTGCTGTTGCTGAGACGTCTGATCTCGGACTTCGGAAGAGCTACAAGGTGGCTTTCTGGCTGGCATTCAGTGTCGCGTGTGTTCCTCTGCTGTTCATCCCTTTTATCAACATTGGGTCTGCTAAGAGTGACCTCACGGTAGAGGAGCGTCAGAGATTGGAGAATCCACAACGTTCAACGGAAGAGTCGGAGACGGAGCGAGAGACCGGACCGCTTCCGCAAGAGCCGAAGAATTGAGCATGAGAGATATCTCGGTTGGTGGATAACCCGGGAATTGGGGACCCAGCTCGGAGGTGATGAATAATATGACTGTGCATAATGCAAGAACGGCGTTGGATAGAGCGTGTTATTTGGTTACAGTCTATATCACGGATAGTCGGTGAAATAATATAACTTTACATATTATCGAAAATGCGCTAGTATAGACATCTGAAATTAAGTCAGGATCATTGCGGGCGAGTAAGAGTAAACAAGACCCTGAGTATGACCGAAATTGGAGATGTTGAATAGCAGACCTCACATATTAGTTCAGGGCCACAACTGCCGCAGCATGATAGTGACCCAACAGCCCGGACATTGGATGACAAGCCGACTGCTACCAGAAACTCGCGATGTCACTCTACCTCCCGGAAACCCGAAGGTCCTTTACGCAGAGTTTTTCTGTTGTTTATTGGTTTCAGAGTGTCATCTCTCCCAGTTTAGAGTTGCGACGCAAAGGACCACACTGCCCCTGCATAAAATGATCAAATCGCAACGTTTCCCCTGTCTGCTTACTCTTTGCACTGACAAGGATCCAACGTGGGTGCCAGGGGTCAAAGGCGCCACAGAGTTGTGTTCGTGCAACTGTGGCTTCGAGTGAATAGTGAAACCAGTGACAGGATTGGTAGAAACAGTTCCTGAGGTCGTTGAGGAGAGGTCTCTCTTGTCTATTGAGGCTTGACCGTTGGTGATGGATAGAAACGTTGGGATGTTGAGACGACCACAACCCTTGTCAAAACGGCCCAGAGCTTTGGTGTGCCCATTAAAACCCCTGTCGATGATCGAGATGAGCAAGTCAGCCCAGTTCTTTCAGTACAGTACAGACTGATAAGACAAGACATTGCTTACCACTGGTTCACTGGCTCACCTTCCTAGGCTGACCTTGCGAGCGGCACAGCAAGACGAGACAAGAGCTGTGTTGGAAGCTCGTCAAGAAGCTGAAATTAGATCGTCATAATTGACGAATATCTTGCTTTGCTGCATACACCGTACTTTGTCATTGCTTCAGCCAAGCCATGCTTCGGCTTATGCTTGAAGAGCGGATACGTAGTGTTGTATAAACCTGCGCTAGAGTTGCATATGAACCTATGGGAAACCGCAAAAGCTATGAGCAACAGGGTCTGCAAACCACTCCACTGGCTGCGGGTTGGGTCCGGTAGAGTTGGCGTAGCCGTTCGATGAAATCCTCTGCCGCTTCCGGGGAACAGAAGGACAAAAACAGGGCAGAGCGTGACCGAAGATGGTGGGTAACAGTTTCAATTGAGTTTCTTGATTGGAAGCTATGTTCAGAAACGGCATCTTTGGTGAAGCTTTTACTTTGCAGTGGCTTTTGACCTGCATGTTGTTTTGTTGATCATTTGATGATGAAGGAGAGGAGGGTTAGGTAGAGAGAGATGAGAATCTGGGGATGGATCTGAACGGGCAAAGTCTCCGTCTCGGTAAGCGAAACGTGGTAGTAAAACACGCCGGTTGAGAAAAGTCTTTCCTAGCAGCGGTACGGATAGATTGATCGTTTCTTTTTTCCATTATATTAAATCATTGGTCATGACCGGAAAAGAAGGATCAATCATGTGGATACAAGACGTGTTTCTCGTTTCCGATGCTGGTCAAGTTACAACGATCTAAGAGAAAGAAATAGACCCATACAGTAGCAAGAATCGTGATCTAACTAAGGGCTTGTCATTTCTGACATTTACTGAGTATTGGAACGCGATGCTTTTTGGTGTAGGTTGTCGATCGACAATGTAAGCTATGCTGATCATAGATGGAATGGGCCAGGAAAAAGGAACTTCTATTTCTGATGCATTTTTCAGCTGAGCCTTATCCTGATCCAAAACATGCAGTGGCTTGGTTTAAAGAGAATTGCTAGATCGATCAAGTTAGGCTTATTTATTTGAGTGTAGACAGAGTTTAGTGTTGAGTCGGTAGAAAGAGTAATAGAGTGTGCGCCTCCAATCCATACCATAGCAAGACAAGCTTCTTTTTCCTTTGTTATCCTCTTTTCTAAACTCTAAGTTTGCCATTATTTACTTTCCCCCAGTCAACCAAACATGTCCGATGCGACTCTGTACGACTCACGTCAAGTCAAAGACTAATACTTCTAGAGTCTTGATGGATTGTTCTGTCCCACTTAAGTCAATGGGCAGGCATTGCTTCAGGTTACTGTAGACTTCCCTCTCCAACTTCCAACTTTTCTGCCCACTTTACGACTACGACTAGGTACAGTACAGTACGTACGACGTCTGTCTTCGTTGCGACATCCACTCTCATCAGTCAGACCAATTTTGTTCTACTTTGCCCAATCTCTCTTCTTCTCTCTTTCGTACCACTTTGAATGACCCTTTAATATTTGGTCGTTTGCTTTTTGTACGCCAGGGCCCTACGTCTCGTACTACCACAAGATCAGCACGACCGTGCATCCTCAACATCTGGTTGGTTACTTTTCTCTTATATCGACTTGACAAGCTTCGCATTCATTGCAAGTTGCACTGCGTATGCGAATTGCGCTGTCAGGTACGGGCCGACGTATTGTTGATCTTCCTGCGATAACCACGTTTTCCTCTCTACCCCGTCTCGTCTCGTCTCATTTCATCTCATCTTATTTCACAATCTGCAATCACAATCACATCTACTGTACTTGTCTTGTGTTACGGGCCTTTCCGCGCCGTACCTGGTTCGGTAGGTATAGTGCCTGGGATCATCCTGTCTTTCCATGCGACGCGCCCCGGTTGGTAGCAAAACAGAAACACCAGGATACCTTACCTTGATTTGGCTTGTGCGCGCTGCACTACAATTTACTAAATCGTCCTCTTTGTCAGTGTCAGTCTGTGCTGCACGGCACTGAGGATTGTCTTGTTTACTCTATACTTTTTGCCAATCATTCCAGTCTTGTTTTGTATCTTCCTTCCCGCTTTGTTCCCGTTTGGTCTGTACAAGGACCCCTTCCCTTCCACTTTAATATCCGTCATCCGTTTAAACTTGGACCATCAACTTTACTTTTACGTTTGGGTTTTGTTCCGAGTCTAATCCTACTTCTAGTCTCTGCCGCGCCGTTTCGACGATCTTAACATTTCCAATCGAGTCCTCGTCTTCTTCATCTTTTAGCTTCAAGGACGTTGCGCGCGAACGAACCCCTCGACCCTTGACACCGGTCTCCCGCTATCACCAAGCTACTCTCGAAATTGCGTCGCCTGCAGCCAGCTATCATCAAAGCTCACACCGACTTCAGCTCACTATATCATGGGATGTTCACCCATGACTTGAGACTACCACCCTCCAAGCTACCAACAGATCGATAACAACTCAACTGCTTTGCACTCGTTGTGCTGTGCTGTGCTGTGCCGTTCAGTCAGAGTCGGGTACATTGTACCGAACTTCGCCAATCTTGTCCATTTGCATCCACTTGCTTGTCTATTTCTGGACGATCTGGACGCAGGACGCATCCTTGTTGATAAGAATTAAGTCAAAGGCAGCAGTTTCCCTGCCTTGTTCGGTTGGCGCAGGATCGCATCGTCTTGTGCGCTCACCAATCAGTCATCATGACTCCTTCAAAGACTACGATATCCTGCGATGGCCAAGACATGGATGAGGCCCGATCCGCATCTGCTCTCCTCTCTTCTCCTCTTTCAACTCCCCGCACGACAAGTCCTGAGCTGGTCTCAATTCAGTCGCTGGCCGACCAAAACCCGACACCACTCAGCATGATGGACGATTCATGTTTCCTCGATATTGACAAGTTCATCTCGACTGGTCTCGAAGCGGGCAGTGTTAGTGCTCCAGCTAGTGTCGACAAGACTGCAGCACCCTCCAGCCAATCACCATTGAATTCGGCGGGGTCGCCCACTAGACTTGCAGACCCCAGCACCCAAGGCCAGCACAGCGCAGATCTTCCAGGGCATAAAGAGACTGCAGATGACGGCAACGCCGAGCAGACACGTGCCGCTGATGATGGTAAAGTCCCTTGTTCAATTGGGGAGAATTCCGATTTACATCAAACTCTAGATGGAAACCCGAGCGAAAAGTCTCCAGCAATTAGCGAAACAAGTCAGCCAGAAGACGGTGCTTCGCAAGCGCACCCAAAAGTTAATTCACCGTCTGCTTTAAATACGACAGGCCTGGCTGCCCAAAATAGCAACGCCCCATCAAACGCCGCCGACCCTGCTCTTGGTTTCAGGGGCCCTCATTCCGATCAGCACGAGTATCAAATAGATAGTTCGACCAGCTATCAGCAATACGAGACTGCTCCAGCTCCAGCTCCAGCGCCCACAGGGCCCTCATCAGTGGGAGCGCGCCCTGCACCAGGGAAAGCCACAGCACCCGCACAGGCAAGTAGTCACTGCAGTGCTACGCAAAGCGCCACCCAGGCCATGTCCAGCACGGCCTCCACTAGCAGCGATTCTGTCCCCCCTGGGCATCAAAGACACCGCAACACTCATTCCTCACAAGACAACGACCTCTCTCCCTCACGCAACACATCCCTTTCTTCACGACTAAGTGGTATCCGAGTCGATACGAATTTTGTCAGGCCGACGCCAAGGCCAATCGTTCGCACCGCTCCCGATTCGCCATCCCTTAATATCAAACATCCAACTCCCGACATTACCTCCCAGGCTCGATCTGGAGCGTACGTTGGCAACATCGCACAACTCGAAGCGACCGCCGAACGGCTGTCTATGACAAGTTCCATCGACGATGCGATACGAGATTTACATACTGAACTAAAGCGATCCGATAGTCGGCGTTCCTCGATACTTGCTGCCAGCCTCAAAGCCTCAGGGTCCATTGACGATTACACTAATAATCCCGGTTCCGCTGTTGAACAATTAAGACGACATCCCTCTATCGCTTCTTCCATCGTATCAACGAATAACGCTGCACGCCACGGTGGTTATTCTCCTGGCGGATACGTCCTTTCCCCGAACCACTCTTTTACTGGGCGACTTAGATCAGGGTCCAAAAATTCGGCAGGCCGACCAGACTTTGACCTCGATTCTGTCTTGTCACGACACGGCCCAGGCAAGGCATCTATCAGAAGTGTTCGCTCTACCAAGCAATCGCTTGCAGAGATTTCAGAATCCGAGCCTATTGCCCTGACACAGGACGTTCTCGACATGGCTGACAAAACCCCTGTCAAGAACCCCGAGGGTGAATCCCTATTGCCCGAGGAGCTCCGCGACGCCAATATGCCCGCTACCGATGTTTTCCAGAACATGATGGGGGATGACAACTTCATGGAATCCAGGAACGAGCATCTACATGTCAAAGCACACACTGGTCTACCGACCGAACAGGAGTCCCGAGATCCCAAGCGGCCTGGAAGCTCGCACTCAGACACGACTTTCCAACAATGTCAAGATGCGTTTGGTGATTTTGATGGTGTTCACTGGGTTCCCGATCAAGATGACCCTTACGCTCTTCCGGACGACCTTGAACCTCAACCACAACATTCAGCAGCCCATCGACCTGCACCTCGTCCTGACATCAGACCGCAATCTTATATGGACCCTGAGTCGGGTCAACAAATGCTCTACTACCCAGCTCGTGTACCTGCTATGCTCAACCTGCCTCCCAAGCTCTCGAACAAGCCCAAGGCCAGCGAAAGGAACAAGCGACGATCCCAGGTGATGAGCGCTATGCTTGATGGTGGGAGAAAATCACAAGCTATGGATGCCAATATCCCTGCTCCGGAGCGAGATACTACCAGGGACTCGTGGCTGCCCGATCCCCTCGCTGGTCATCGAGCATCATTCGTTGCCTTGTCTTCTGACGAGCTCAGAGAGCTTGGTCAACAGCCCGACCCAGGTCATCCTGTGCTTCCAGAGCAGACGGCCGCCCCTGCTGTGCAACCAGTCGAAGCACCGGTTGAAACCTTGAGACGTCCTCAAAAGCTCCGAAAGAACCCTGATGAGCGAAAGTCGAGAATGTCCAACCTGCCACCGCAACTGAGAGCCAGTGCTTACTTCGATCTCCCCGACAACACACAGCCAGATATCGAAGTCAAGGATGGCTCAGCGATGGCCACTCTCGAGAGCATCCTGGACGCTTCTGCCAATGCCCCTGTTAGTGCATTCACCGATCATGAGCGTGCTGGTAGACTTGGCAAGGAAGTTTATGGTCCAGAGAAGAAACGGGCATCTGTTGCTGCATCCGTTGCTCTTCAACCCGAGGGTGACAAGAAACATGCCAGAAAACGGTCTTCTTTCATGTGGCTTGGCAAGCGTCACAGTCACGTCAGTGATGACAACAAGGACCAAAAGGCTCACTCAGAGGCTGGTTTGGGACCAGTCAACGCTGACACGAACGCTGGTGAGAACGATGGCTTGGCCCGCAGCGTAGATGGTCGCAACGATGGACACAGTGAGGATGAGGCTGCGGAGGATGCCGAAGATGCCACTGATGAAGAAGCATACAATGGACCTCCGACAACACTACTGGCCGAACTACAACTACGTAAACAACAGCAGAAGGAGCGTACCCAACGAACATTCCCAGGTGGTATGCACGCTACGTTACTGGAGATGGACGCAGTTGCCGAGACGCAGAAGAAAGCAAGGAATAACAAGCGTATCAACTTGGCCTGGGAAGAGGGCGCAGCACAGCCTGTTGATGAAGATTCTGACGATGAGGACATCCCCTTGGCTGTCATCGCGGCACGTAACCAGGGTGCAAAGAATGTTATGGATTTGAACCGCCCCATCGGTTTGATGGAGCGTCGTGAGATTGAGGAGAACGAACCTCTCAGCCACCGCCGAGCTCGTCTTCATGGCCAGGATCCTCGATCCATGGTCCTCACCAACCGACCTAGCATGAATAACCTCAGCGCCAATTATCTTCCTACGACACCTCACTCTGCACATCACTCAGTGCAGAACGCATCCACTGTGCCGGATGATGAATTCGAAGGCGAAACACTTGCGGACAGGAAACGGCGCCTTGCTGCCAAGGAAGAGGCCGAAAATCTTTTGCCCAAAGCACGACCTGTCAGTGGAGCCTTCTCTGTTGAGCTTCTCAATCAGTTTGAGGACCCCGAAGAGAAGAAAAACAAGGAAGAGGAGGAGAACAAGCCCAAGACAGGCGAAGAGGAAACTTTGGGGCAGCGTCGCCGTCGCTTGCAAGCTGAGCGCGAGGCCCGTGAACGAGAGATGAGCTTCAACCAGTTGAACAGTCCACAGGAACCGGAGGCGCCAATTCCTGGTGTCAATGGCCGAATGCACCAAATGTCGAGCGTTCTTTCTGCTCATCCCAAGAGGGAAGTCAATGAGGCTATGGCTGAGCGTGAGCGTCTCGAGCGTGAGAGAAGACTGGTTAGAGAAGGCAACGCCAAGATGGCTGCCTATAGAAACCAGATGCCTCAGGCTCTAGGAGTTGCAGGCAATGCTCATTCTGGTGGCTACCGTGGGGGCACTTTCAACAACGGTCTTGGTGGTCAGAACTCTCAAGCCGCCATGTCTTCACCAGCTCTTCATACCCAGATTTTCAACCAGCCTGCTCTTAACCACCGTAAGAGCGCAGTTTTCAGTACATATGGTGCGCCGATGCAGCAAGCTCCCTACGGCGCTTCGACTGGGAACTTGGGTGCGATTAACGGCATGGGCCCGTATGGCGCCGGTGGCATGAGCGTCTATGGTGCAGGCATGTTGCAGCCCGGTATGCAAATGCCCGGTCAGGGTGGCTCTTCCAACAGAATCGAGCAGTGGCGTCAAGGCGTTCTCCCTTGAAGAATCCAACATATCTCGGTTGTTTCAACCTGAAACATTTGATTGACCTATTTCGGGAGACAACTCTAAACATGAATCTACAGTAATACTTTTTGGGGAAACATAGAAGAAGGACGGGTCACACAAAGCGCATGGCTATCAATATGGTGTTAGGTGTATTTGATAGAGGTCAGGAGATTTTGGCATCACATATTTAGGAAGTTTGCTTTTTCGTGTTCAGCATGGCACCTAGCATGGCATGGCGCTGGAGATACTCGTAAAGCTGGAAGGACAGCTATTTTAACAAGGAAACAATTTACTCATTATAACAAATGCTTCTCCAAAAACCTGCTTCTCTTGTTGATATCCTCATCTAGCCAAACATGAATGTGGTGACGTGAACAAATCTGCTACCATTTCGAGTTTGAGAGTGAATGCAGAGCATGGGGAGGTATCAACTTGTCATATTGCCAAAACAAAGATACAGAAAAATTAAAGCAACCCAATGTCTACAAGACCAACGCCAGGATGTTAACAAGCCGTTTTCCCTCCCCTATTTTCACTCTTCTACATGCTTTTTCTTCAAATCCATTTATCTCCGCTTGCTAGAGCTGCCAGTCTTTTGCAATTTGGCTGGTGGTGCAGCCTCAACATCACTGTCCTCATCCTCACCCATAGATTCGTCCACATCATCGTGGTTAACCTCATCCTCGTCGAGAGACTCATCGGCCTCGCTATCCTCTTCCTCGCCAGCTGAAACCTCCTCATCGTCAGAGTCACCGACAAAGCCGTTGGTGATAGGAACATCGGCGTCGTCATCGTCAGAGTCGTCGAAATCGCCTTCGAAGCCGCGTCTTCGGCCAGGTGTGCGTGCAGCCTCATCTTCACCCTCAACCCAAATAACATCCTCGTCATCGTCGTCCTCTTCTTCATCGGAGCCCGAGTCACCAGCGTTGCGACGCTTAGGGTTGGCCATCTTGCGTCGGAGGTGCATCTGGTCCTCGAGCATGTCGAGCTTGCCCTTGAGAGCAAGAATGCTGTTGAGACCCTTGGCGCGCTCAGAGACGACCTTTTGCAGACTGCTGAGGCTGTGGATAACCTTGGGCTGAGATGCGATAACACCACCGTGAGCAATTAGTGTCCACTGAATCCAATGCATGAGACTCTCAGCACGGCCAGGACGACGGTGCAGGCGAGCGGCGAGCTTGATAAGGAGAAGTCCGGCAAGAGAGCTGTCGAGGCGCTCAATGGTGTTGCGAATAGTATCGCGATCGGGGGTGTGGAAGCAAGACTCGAGAAGGTCTGTGTCGTCGGTGCGAAGGGCCTGAGTAAGGACGGTAGTAAGGGACTGGTGAGTACGAGGAACAAGAGAGTTCCTTGTGGACTGAGAGACGACTGCGCCATTGAGGGCTGAGGGCACATCGATGATATCGCCCTCGGCGCGGAGAAGCTCTCCAAATGAAGGCGAAACACCCTCCTCGTCTGACTCCGCGTCCTTGCTGGTATCACCGTTGATCTTTTGCTTCAAGGCCTTTGCGCTGGGTTCCTGAGCAGTTTGCGCTTCCTCCTTCTGGTCCGCGATACTCTCAGCATCAGAGAGATCTTCGTCGCTGTCGGCATCGGATGAGATGTCAATAGTCTCGGGCTGGGATGTAGCGAAAGTCTCGGCGCCACCGATAGAGGCCTTTGACTCGTTGATAGCGGACTTATTAGGGATTTGAGCACTGGTTCGAGAAACGGGCGCAGCCAGCTTGACCGGCGCTTTGCGTTTTGTTGTCGACATTATGAATAGAGTGTGAAGTTATTGAGGCAGGCGCAGAAAGAATACGGCCGGGTCGCGTGCAAGGACTTGTCGATGATTTAGAATCAAAGACGGGTAAAGGCGAGTCAAATGACTTTGACTGTTGCTGCGCTGATATCGCGGTTTCTCGTTATTAATAAAGAGAAATGAATGATGTTGAGCGTTATCAATTGGAAAATTTGACGAAGCCGTCGCTCAGTCTCGAGTGAAGGAACTTTTTTTCTGGAACCTGAGCTTAACTTGGTGGTTGCCCCACAATGCGATAAGATTAGAGAATAGCATCACGTGTAGTGCCACAACTCAACAGCCACAAGATGAGTCATGTGTGGCACACAGAAAGTTGGCTGTCGGGTTGGACAGCGGCCTAATCTTGGAGTTTGGAAAGCCTTTCAATAACACTGATTGGCTGGCAAAGCAAATTGAGCTTTGATTGGATAGGACGTAACAAACTACAATCAGCCGCGTACCTATGGGTTCTTTTACATCGCTCGGAAGGATCAACTTGTCATCCGTGCCCAGGCCCAAACAAGAAACAGGCACGTATCCGTACAAAGTTTCCTTCTATAAAAGAGCTACCTATCAAACATCCCAGAAGCATCAAATCTGGGTATCACAAGCCATGTCGATGTCCGTTTATCTCGTTTTATACGGAACGCACGGTCACCTGATGTTTGGCTCCCAACTTGAGATCCAAAGTGGACCCGTGTCTCCGGCTGGACCATGATGCGGCCTAGCTTCGGTATCAGAATGCAGATCACTAATTGATTATGATGCTTTGTTGCATCATGGCCTAGTAACGCGACGCGAACGTGTAAGAGAAGTGTCGCGAAGGTTAAAGCACGTGTCATGAATTAAGAGGATAGCCTCTTGCATGCTTGGTCACTTTAGAGTTGGCTATTGTTCTTTTCTTTCATTATAATTTTTTGCTGCGCTGCCTAAAAGGAACTCTCAACAAAATATCAGCCCGTCAATTAAGGCGACATCTTCATTTCATCTGGTTGAACCGGATCATCTTGTAAGACGCAGTGCTCGGGAAACGGAGGCATTCCGGAACCGTCTGCAATTTCTCATCCGCGTCTTTTCGGGATGGAGACCTTCCCTTTCTGAACAATATGCTCAGACTCTAGCCACATCATCTGCCCGTAAGGTTTGGACCACATGTAAGCGACGTACCATTACGTGTGCTGTATAAGCTGAACATAATTCTTTGTGATCTAAGCTCGAGAATCTTCATGATGATTCCGATGATATCAGTCAATCCATCTATCTTCGACATGATCAAAACCTCATGAAACAAACTTGTTGATAGTGATACCCAACCTCGTAGCCACAAGTTCCCCAGCCACCAGAGATCACCATTGTGGGATGGCTCGTGCCATCCCCTTTCTGTACAAAACCCGGACAACTAAATTTTTCCCCTTGCCAAGTTTGCGCGCCCCGGTAGAGACAAGTGAACGGCTCAACGGAGTTTGCCTTCTTCTCTCATAAATACCACCGCGCCTCCGACCGGGCAAAATTCACTGACGTGCACGCGCTTTTCCCTCAGAGGCTCCGAAACTCCCCTTAAATCCAACCCCCCTTACCCCCCTCCAACTTTCTTCCGTTCCGGTCTCCGGCCAAACAGAAGAGAGAAGAAGCAAAAAAAAAGACACAGAGCCACTGCACTGTTCTTTCTGCGCTGCGTAGCCATCTGGGACCTGACCTCCCTAGCACTGGCCACTCACACAAGCCCAACTGCCCTTTTCCCCCTCTTGGCAACCACCTTGCACCTTTTTGAGGCTACCGCAAAGCACAAAAAGCACCTTCCGCGCCCCGATCACGATAAGAGCTCCTTCCCGTTCTTGTTGTTCTCGAACCTGGCGATCACCACCAAAAAAGCTTACTGCACCTGCACTTGCACTGCACATACTATTGACTTTTTATAATCAATAATAAGTCTCGCGATTTACAGATTAACTCTGCATCGCTTGCACTGACTTTTTTATTTATTTCTTCTTTGATTGTTCTTTTTATTGATCATTTTTCTTTCTTCCTTTGCTCTGCTCTACGCATTATACATTGTACACTACAATCTGCGCGCAAGGCCTATTACAACAAAAGCTCTCCAGTTATTGTTGTCAGCGTCATTGCTTCGGCTTTTGCTCTTTGACCTACCTGGCTCCTACCTTACCTCCGGGTTACGACATCGATTGGTACTTGCTGCTGTCACCTCCGCTTGCGCCTGCCTGCCTTCTGCCGCTAGGCCACCAAAACCCCAAAGCTGAGCGGCGCATAAAAAGATCGCGACTCCCCGCCTTTATTCCAACTACGCAACTGCGCGACGCGCCTCCATTCCAGCATCCCCACCCCAACCCTCTCCATCGCGCATCAACATCACGTCGCTTACCTCTCGATAATTTGCGACTTACCTGGTCCCGTAAACGCATCGTTATTTCATGTCGCGTTGGGTCAACTAAGCTAGACTTACATTGACGCGCATTTATCGCGATCAGCCATTATGGCTTCGCCCACCCCCGATGCTCCCGCTGCCGATCCCATATCGCGCGATGCCACAGCAGAGAAGGAACAGAAGTCCGAAGTTAATGGGTAAGTCGCCCCTCATTCTTTCTGCTGCGTGCCAACTGTGACTGTGCTGTCGCGATGCATGCGCTTCCATCCTTTCTCAGCATTCGCTGACTTTCTTGTTACCAGACATGCGACTCCTGAGAAATCAAATGACGCGCCTGAATCCACATCAGTAAACGACAACGACAAGACAGAAGAACCTCCAGTCGAGAACGGCGTAGACAAGGATGTTGAGATGGCAGAGAATGAGGATGAGAAGAAGACATCCCCATCGCCACTCAAAGACGAGGCTGTAGATATCAAGGATAAGTCGGACAGTGGCGACCAAGTGAAAGAATCAAACGATTCGAAGCCCGCGGAAGATGAAGCAAAGGCTGCATCAGAGGATGTCGACATGGCAGATGCTGCCCCTGCCGACAAACCTCAAGATGATAAGCCTGCGCAAGATGCGCCCGCTGAAGAACCTGCCACTGAAGATTCTAAAGATGTCGATATGACAGAGAAGCCCTCCGATGCGCCGGAAAAGGGCGACGCTGCTGATGAGAAGGCGGCCACGTCAACTGATGCTGCATCTCCTAAGGAAGAGACCGACGAGCAGCCTACTAGCCTGTCTCAACTTGCGATCGATACCAAGGATGTTGATGCCCCCAAGCCCTCCACCGAAGTGGCCATGCAAGATGCGCCTGCAGTCGACGCCTCGGCCAGCTCTAAAGTAGCGCGCGAGCGTGAGGACGATATTGACGATGAGCCTGCGCCCAAACGAGCCAAGACGGAGCCCAAATCAGAAGAGCCTGTCGACGCTGGAGTTCCCGCTCCGATCACAGATAGTGTTCCTGGTGAGGATGCTCCCGAGAAGGAGATGTCACGTTTCTCCGGTCTCGACAAATGGAGTGACGACGGTTACAAGGAGCAGAAGCTTACCAACCATCAACGCCGCGAGTTCAGGAAGGTGCTTGGTCGCGTCAAGAAAACCAAGTCGGGTGGTCACTTCAAAGACTCTGTCCCAAAGTTGTGGCCAGGACTTGCTGAAAGCTATCTGTCCAAGATCGACAAGCCCATGGACCTATCTGAGATCGACAGAACTCTGCGCGATTCCAAATACAGCACCATCGGTGACTTCCAAAGCGACCTGGCTCTTATGTACGACAACACCCGTACCTTCAATGGCACTTTACATGAGGTGACGACTGCTGCGTTCAATGCCATCCGAGATATCTGGGAGAACATCATTCTGATCCCCCAGGAAGAGGCAGTCAAGCCCAAGTCTGCGCCTAAGCCCAAGCCTCCTCGTGAGTCGCGTATCAGCTCCCTGGGCGACTCTGTTGCCCGCAAGCCATCTGTTGGACCAGGCACGAGCCCTGCTGCTGAGAGCGTATCCTCAAAGCCGCGACATGGATCTCAAGAGGCTGCTGCTGCTGCTTCTGAATTGCGCCGTGCTTCGAATGCGACTGAAGGTGATCGTCCCAAGCGAACTGTCCGTGCTCCCAAATCCAAGGACATCGACTACACAACCAAGCCTTCGCGCAAGAAGCTCAAGCCCGAGTTACAGTTCGCCGAGGAGACGCTGGGTGAACTGATGCACCCCAAGAACACAGCCCTCAATTCCTGGTTCATGGACCCAGTTGATGCTGAAGGGTTGAACATCCCCCACTACTACTCCATCATCAAGAGACCCATGGACCTCAACAAGATTGCTCGGATGTTGAAGAATGGCGAGATTACCAGCTTCAAGGACTTCGATAAGAACGTGCGGTTGATCTTCACCAATTGCTATACCTTCAACGGCACTGTTGACCAAGGCAACTCTGTGTCGTACGTGGCCTCCCAATTGGAGAGCTACTACAGCAACCTGATGAAGGACAAAGACGCTTGGCTGTCTAGGTATGCCAAGGCGAATGCTCCTGCCGCCACTAATGGCAGTGATGAGGAAGATGAAGATGAGGAGGCTGAGGGTGAGGAAGCAGAGGGCCCCCCTGGTGTTGACCCTACCAAGGAAGTGCGTGACCTGGAGGCCAAGCTACGAGAAGAGAGTGGCAAGCTCACTGATCTTTACGCTGCTGAAATTCCCAACGAGAGCATGATTGAGACCCAGCAGCTTATCGTTGGTGTGGTGCAGAAGAACCTGCTGAAGGCGAAACAGGCTCTTAGCCAGCACCGCACAAAGAACCCAGAGAAGCCTGCCAAGAAGGCCAGCAAGCCTAGCAAGCCCAAGCCCAGTGGATCTGCCCCCCGTAAGCCTAGCGGAACCGTGCCTCATCCTAAGAAACCCAGCGGTCCCAAGAAGGCTGCTTCCAAGAAGACCCTCACTGCCGCAGATAAGGATTCGATAGCTTCGGCCATCAACGATCTTGAAGGTGCACAGCTTGACCGTGCCATCGACATTATCAAGCGAGACACGGGCCAAAATGCAAGCACCACCTCCCCTGTCGAGTATCGAGTAATGCTAACATGTTTGTAGGAGAACACTGATGGAGAACTTGAGCTAGATATTGACCAACTAAGTCACGAGGCATTGCTCAAGCTTTGGGAGCTCTGTAAGAAGGTTCTTCCAGGGTTCGGTAAGGACTCGAATGTTCCATCTTCTCCAGAAGTATCACGAGCCGCGCCACCTAAACACTCGAAGACTTCGTCAACATCGGCGAAGCCTAAAAAGAACAAACCCATGAGTGCCCGCGAGCAGGAGGAGCGCATCGCACAGCTTCGTGGTCTTCGCGATCTATACAGACCTGGTCAGGAGCCCGGAGACGCCCAGCCTGTGCTGCAAGCTCCTACACCTACCGCCGAGTCTAGTGATGAATCAGACTCGGAGGAGGAGTAAAAATAACGTCGAATTGACAGACGGATTGAATGAGTTGTATGACTTCCTTTTTGGAAGCTTGGTTGCCAAGTCGACCGACGAGCATGAGGCACCATTATACCCAGCCGCATGGCTACACCAGGTGTCATGCTTGCTCAAAGGAATGGCGTGATGTGCTCGGCAATATACTCGGGCATGCCGCCTCCGACGAGGTTGTCATAAACCAAGCCTGATGAGATCGGTAATGAAGACGTCGTGATATCCCCCGAGCAGTTTTTGGTTTCGGGAACCAACCAGTAGCGGCGTATATGCGAGAGGATGCAGTGCTAGGAGGGCCCAAAGTGGTAGGGGGTTGATGAGAATAATTTTTGGGAGATACCCGAGAAGCGAACGGAGGCGATAGCATATACGATTATGGATACTTGATAGGTGATATCCAGCGAAGTGAGGTTGGATGGCAGTGGGCATCCAAGTACCGGTTATCGGTCCAGCGTTATGTTGAATGCAGAAAATAAATCAACTTCGATATTCCCACTTGGGCGTTGATTGAGTGTGACGTGATGTAGTGATATATGTGAATGTATCGTGCCAAACGACAAGGCCTTGCAGTCAGTCGTTGTAGCTGCTGTTGCTTGTTTGTGATCCATGATTTGGGCATGGGTGTAGGCTGACGGAGCGCAAAGTAAACAGCACGTCTAAGTCGCCTCCGTGTCTTGGTAAGTCCTGGCTTTGTGGTGCTGTATGGACGTGGTGCGTCGTGCTGAGAATTGTTCACGCCCATGATGCAGATGGGAAGGGTGTGATGGCGATCTGGACACAACTGCAAACATTGAAGGCCGTCCAGTGGTGTCAATAACTGAAGTGGTTGGGAACTGGTTGAGTCGGGGAAGCATTGACGGGAAGCGTCAAGTAAACTTAGTCTTTGAGCCTTGAAGCATGGAGTATGCCTCGAACTTTGAGTTGGGCGGGCGCAAGACACCTGTGTGGGTGTGAAGAGAAGACCTGAGGCACCAAGTGTATCGATGGTTCAGAGAAAAAGAAAGTTACGAGACGACTCGTACGGAAGTATGTAAGGGCGTAAGAGGGTGTAAGGGGAGGTAAACATGAGATGAAATGGTGAGTGATTCAGAGCGTGATTGTTGTGGGAAGGGAGAAGATAGAAAGCTCAGTGATGGGCTTGACGCTCTGTGGCAAGGCCATAACAGAGACACATAGCAGTGTGGCAAATGAAGGGGGGAATGGTCCATTTTGGCCGACAAAGTGAAGATATCTCAGAAAAGACTCTTGGTGAGGTTGTTATTGTAAGAACGGTTGAGTAAATCAGGCGTATTAACGAGTCGGTTGTTTTGGCTGGAGGCCATATGATCCGTCAGGGCGGGGTTGCCAGAGGTCAGCAGACAAAGAGAAATAATACATACCGAGTGATATCACAATAATCTCTATACCAAAGCAGATATAGAGAATCAATAAGTGATATCAGCGATTCAAAGTCGTAATATTAGATGTCGTGGTTGATATTTGTTGTTGAGTAGATGGATGGACGTATCTAATTTTTTTTTTGCTTTGCGGGTTTGTTTGACAGAGACTGGAATTTGGGGGAAGTAGTGGACTTTTTTGGTGGGCTGAGTAGTGGTAGGGATGGTCGTCGTTTATTGGGAAGGGACCTCGCCTCACCTCACCAACCTAACAGAGGCAGAGGCAGTTTTTACACTGTAGACGGGCCTGGACGGCTATCGGGACAGTCAAGTTACCCTGGATAAGACACAAAATAACCACTGACTGATTGGCTTAGAGGACATTTACTCACTTATTGCATTGGGGATTCAAGATGTAAGTACTGATTTAGAATTGACAAGACTTTTAAATTTTGTTAAAGATTAAATGGTGATTAAGACTGGTTCGTAGGACGGACATAAGTCGAAAGAAGAAACGCACACAATGATGTTGCTAGAAGACAGAACACTTTGAGCGCTTGCGACAAGATAGATTTGGTGTATATTGAAACAGATGTGTGTAATTAAATCCTTTGGCCATGCCAACGTGAGACATCTCTGTATAGCCTCACTTCTGAAGTCTATGTCACGCCGACAACTACACATCCGACTCCATAGGCACGGGAATATCTCTTCTCAACCTCCTCTGAATCTCCTCGAAGTCCTCTTCATTCTCCTCCGTAACAAAGCCCCTCCTAACAAGAAAGTCAATCATAACAGGACAAACATTCGGCTTGAACTCCCCCTTCAACATCCTCTCAACAACCTCCCCACACTCCATAAGCACGAACTCCTCAACCTCATCGTCTCCCGGTCGGGGAATTACATCAGCCGGCATCTCCAGGTCGAACACGTAGATGATGTCCGAATGGAAGAGCTTTGACTTGGCGTTGATGTTGGCGAGTGTTATAGCACCTGCGGGCTCAAGGGCGGTTGACACAAGGTCTGGAGGAAGACATGCTTCTTCGGTGGACTCGGCTTCTATACAAGCAAGTGGTGTATCGCTTGCTTTGATACCGCCTGCGACGGTGCTGTCGAGAAGACCCGGATAACTAAAAAGATGTCGACTTCTTCGCGCAACCCAAATCTTGATTCCTCCATGTTCATCACGAACATAACCCGTCAAGTGCGCACCGCGGGTAGCGATACCGAACAACGGCGCAGCGAATCTCTCAACTTGGACAAAACTCCTCGCACCGACTATACGAAAGTACTCGCTGTGCTCCTTGTGAAGAATTGGGAATAGATCATCGTCAATGGCTTTATCAACAGCCTTTTGGAATGATGAGTTGGCATGTTCTGTAAGAGATTGGGAAGTAGGTGGTTCCGTGAGGGTCACTTCGCGAGTTTCGTGGTTGATGGCGAATGTGGTGGGCCATGACATGGAGGATACCGTGTCTGGGTGAATGAAGCCATGAGGGCGAGGGTCCGGGGCAAGGTAGAGACGATAGTAGGGGGAGAAGTTTGTTTCAAAATCCAAGGGGACACTGGAACTATTAGCTACAGTATAGCCATTTGTATGGAGAGACTTACTTATCAATGTCGGTGATAAGATCGAGTAGTTTGCGGGGTGATGAAGTTGAGGCTGCCATGGTAGCGGAATGAAGTCTGAAGAGAGGTGGTACCTCAAAGCTTTGTTACTAAGTGAGTTATTTACTTGTTCTTAAAGGGAACGTTGTTTATTGTGTTGAAGGTGGTGAGTAAGTTGATGTCGAGTTAGTGGGTGGAGATAAAGCCAAATCTGACTGTGGAAATATGCAGCCAATGTGAACGGTGAGTACCACGTTCTACATCCACCAAGACAAGCACGTTTGATCTTACACACAAAGGCTCTAAGCAATGACAGGCATGTCATTAAAAGTGTACATGTAGCAATTACTGAAACTTTGGTTTGGTCATTCTTAATTTTGACTGTAACACGATTCTCTGAAGCAGTGGTTTCACTAACTCGAGATCATACCTTACAACGACAGTGATATACTGGTATATCTGTAAGGCAATCTATCCTCATTGGCTCTATCGTTTTGACTCTTTTAGTCTATATCCCTTTGGTCAGTTTATTCCTCATCCTCATCTTCTCCAAACAGCTCCTCCATATTCATAGCCTCAAGCGTATTCTCAAGAACCTTCCTACATCTCGCTCTATAATCCAGCACCAACTGCTGATTCCTCGTCAAATCTCCTCCACTCACAACCTCAACGTCCGTCTCAAGCAACCTCTCAAGCTCCTGCATAACCTTGTGCTGGATAATAGCAGCCGTCTGCTGCATAAACATCCGTCCATCCTCAGTGACCTGTCCACTGAAGAACTTTTCTTGCTGCTCCTGCTCTGTGCCCTCGCATATAAATTGGTGGCGTTGTTCGGGTGGTGCGAGAGTGCAGAAGATGTCCCATACCATATCATGCTGAACATGCTGGAAAGCTCCGAGTACATCAACAGAGTCACCCAGTTGCACGGTTTGCTTAGATCGTGCGAGGAGGGAGCTGCTGTGGCGGATGGGACGGAGGGAGATGTAGTACTCTTCTGTAGCTTCACCCTGAGCAGGTTGGCGCTTCCGCACGTGGACATAGTCGTTGTGTAGCTCTTCCGTCTCAGGCAGCATAAAGCCATATCCGAGAAGTAACTCAGCGTTTGTCTTCATGCTGTAGTTGTTGAAGATCTGCTCTCCTGCTTGATACGCCTTTCCAACCTTGAGACTGCAATCGTTGGCCTTCTCGTCGCGTTCCCATCGCACTTCAGTCATCATATCGTGGTTGCCCACATCAAAAAGCGGCATGAGAACGGAAAAGTCATCCAGCTTGACTCCTTCGGGCAGTCGCTGTTGGTCTTCTGGTCCAAGAACGAGACTTGGGCGGAAACTTCTGCTGGAGAAGATGCTGTAGGCCCACTGATACAAAGGCAGAGTGAAATGTTTAAGCAGTTCAGGCTCCCAGTCATCTCTCGATAGGAGATCAAACGCCGCTCTGAACTCGCGCTTCACATTGGCCTTAATGCTGGTAACTCCCACCTCAATATTCGTCCCCTCAAATAACTCAGCATCCTCATCCGGCCAAAATGGCGGAAGAGACCATGAATCAACATCGTTTGGCTGTGGCAATGCCTGTATATACGGCGCCCAGAAAGACTCTCCCTTGAGAAGGAAGTGCTTGATCAAAACAAACCGTCCAATGACATGCGGAGGAGTCTGAGCCAGAAACTTCGAAGTAAATGGCTTTGGGTCGTCACGGCCAGGAAGAGTGTTGAGATATGACAGCGTGAGAGAAGGAGGAATGCTGACGATTGTGTCAAAAAGCGATGTAGAGGCTGTTGCGCAGAAAGAAAGGCCTGTTTCTGGTAGGTGGGAAACTTGGACTGAGGGGTTGATTGTGGCCCCGTTCGAAGTCGCCCAATGCACGAGTTGTTCTGAAGAAGACATTGCGAATAAATGTATTTCTTTTCTTTTTATATGAGAGAAGGTGAAATGAAGGAGTGAGAATTGTGTATATAATAAACTTGGTTTGATGTTTGTGCCCCACCTTGAAAAGTGGAAGAACAAACCAACTTCAAGTGACGTCTGTTCAGACCATCTGAATGGTCAATCAAAGAGTATCACCATACCTACTATTAATTTGGATAGATGGTTATAGTATTTCACAGATGTGTATATGATCTCATGGTAAATGTTGCATTTTAGATACTAGGCATTACATGTCCAGCATGTATATACTTACCTTGACTTATACCACAGAGATATCCTACCACTTACTTACCTTACCAACTCCTGGATCTGAAATTCCTCACGACAGGATATGCATCCTCTCCCTGACCAATCCACTTGATAAGACCCTTCCCCATGTTCACACCTCTCACCTCGTCCATATCCATCAACTCATCCGCGACGAATCCATAGAACAAACTCATATGCTCCTCACCCTTTCCCAAGCTATCAACAGTTAGTCTCAGCTGCGAATTCATAATAATAATACTAGTGATCTTCATGTGCCTCTGGTGCGACTCACCTGAGATCTTCTCTCTCAGAACTCTGCGCCATTGAAGCACAGCCTGGCGCGCCTTGTCCCGAATAATGGACCACTCCGTATTGACATCATCGAGAGGGTTGTTGGGCCATTGGATCCAGGGCACTACAAGGGCAATCATCATGTTATCGTTGGCATTGTTCAAGCCGCGATGCCAGCAGATGTAGTTGGGGGCTCTGGAATGAGGCTGATGGAAGGTGAAGCTCTCAGAGGAGCTTGAGTTGGAGGTTGTCAACGTCATTTTGAACGACTTTGATGCAAACCGGTTGCAATGTAATATGTTTGTTTCGAGCGAGTTTGAATTGCAGGTGATGAGCACATATTATGAAGTTCGAGGGCGGCATGTTTTATATTTACGACGAAAGCAATTCGTTCGGGCGAATCCTCGCTCTGAAGCGTGTTCCTCTTCGAACCGGTCGAACAAAGACAGTTCAACAAGTGTATTGTGTTTGGTGAGCAGTGTGTGATGTCTGCTACGAATACGGTCTTGTTTTCACATAACAAAGAATATAATCAAGTTGAACAACAGGCTGTGCAAATGAATATGTTATAGATACAGGCCTAGCCGCGGCCAAGAAATCCTGATCACCAAAAACAAGGGCACGCAATGAAGGTCAGTCGGGGCAATAAGCAAATACAGAGATTGGCTCATGTCACGAGAAGACGTCACACCCATCAGGCACAGCTTAGCCAGTAAATGTATACCGTTGTCTAACCCGAGTAACCAACCGTTATGTCCAAACATCCATCTCTTAATGAAACTCCGCCTCAACCCTTCCATATCTCACCCCATCAACCTTCAACTCGAAGCCCAGTCCCGCACTCTCGACCCTCATCTCCAGCGTAAAGTCCAAGTTATCAAACTCAACGCCCCTCGTAGTCGTCAACCTCGTAAACAGACTCCTGGGGACAGCATTGAGATCTGTTGTGAGAGTACACACGTGTTTTAGGTCTCGCGTATATGCTGCGGGTGCCTCGTCGGCGTCGCATGCTATCAGGTCGTCTGTGACGATGAGGGATTGACCAGGGCGGAAGTTGCGTGTGTAGTGGAATGCGATAGGGGCAAGTGGTGATAAAGCCTCGCCCTGGGATGTGTTAGTGAATGTTAGTTGAAAGGGAGAAGGGACGTACCTTGGCGATGTGCCATTGCATTCGGTCAGAGACCATCCATCGTTCCCATAGAGGAGACCAGTATCGCTCACTGACCGAATGCTTGTCCTCGTCATATACAGTAGCATATGAAGTTCCGTAGTGCATTCTCGACTTACGAGAGATGACCATGTTGCCTTCCAATCCTCGCAGAACCGCACCACGCACAACTGCCGTCCAAGCATAGACGGGCTGCATCACTTCGATAGAACCCGACTCCTGCGTAGAGTTGGCATTAGCATGCGTGGGACGTTCGCTGTAGGGCGGTGGAGCAGCGCTGGTAAAGTGAGACTTCAGACGGCGATATAGATAATCGCTCTGACCAAATCCTCCTACTAGGACGATGCCGGAGACGATACCGCCCTTTGATCGAAGTCCTGAGACTTGGCCTTGAACTAGGTCGCACACTTCTTTCACTACTGGCTCGAAGATGTCCTTGACCTGTTCTGCCGTCATGACCAAGAAGCCCGAGTCCAGCCCAGCTTCTTCATCGTCAGGAAGACCAGGGAAGCTAAGAGTGTCAGTTTTAATCCAATCACAAGTATTGGAGTGTACTTACGGAACGTTGACTTCCTGGTGCTCATCCTCATTGAAGTTTCTCTTAACGAATTCTTCAAAGTATCGAAGACCCATCTGCCATGTCTTGCCCTTCTTGGCCTTCATCTCATCAAATCGAGTCTGGCCAAGACGACCTCTGACATGTTCTTCAAAACGGTAGTTCAGGAAAGCACTTCCGCATAGCCCTCCTGTTCCAACTGCAGACTCCTCGACTCTGAGTGGTTTAAGAGAGATAATTTTGTATGCAATCAAACTGCCAACTGTCAGTGGCTGTAAATATCCCAAGAGAATGCAAACTTACTCAACTGTACCACCTCCAGCATCACAAACAATAAAGTTATCACCCACATTCAGATGATTTGGCTGAATTGCCTTGAGAGTATACACAGCCGCAGCTTCAGGCTCACTGATCATTTGGATCTCAGATCTAGATCCCATCCCAGCCCTCTCAGCAGCTTGCAAGGTCGTGTTCTTCGCCGCATCACTCCAAACAGCTGGACACGTCAAGACAAACTCAACCTTGGTCGACGCCATGAACGACTCTCCATACCGACGTGTGAGCGTATCCATAGTATGCTTATACACCTGTGTCAGGTAATCGCTCACAGCATCGACTACATTCTTATTGAAACGCTTCAGTTGGGCTGCTGTGTCAAGAGGGCTAACGTAGAAGGGCAGTTTTTGAGAACGATCTAGGAAGAGCTTGATGCAGCGCAAACGAGACTCCTCAGGCTTGAACTGGAAACCCCATTTCACTGTTGGTTCTGTGCCTTGAGGTGCATTGGGTGGGAAATCGTAGGCGATCTCAGTCGGAACTTTGTCTGAGGTGATACCATTGCCGCCTGGCCATGTCTTGATGATTTCTATATCATCAGGGGTGGAAGTGTAGACAGCAGCGACACTAGAGGTATTAGTCTCATTATCATATCACATCCTCTCCAACATGAATACTCACCCTGAGAAGGTAGTACCGAAATCAACACCCACGATCAAGCGATCGTTTAGAGGCGCTTGCTCTCTGACCAACTCCCTCACAGGTCCATTGATGGCTTCAGTCGAACTTGGCGGAGTATAGCTGTTGAAGTAATTATTTCGACTGTCGCGGTTGCGCTGACTGCTCGTGCTGGGTCGCATTGGTAGATTGAGACTCATTCTGAGCTGATTGGTAGAAATGATGGTTTCCTTGGCTCAATTAAACGCTCATCCATCGGTCAAGCCGTTTATCATAAGTCCAACAACCGTTTTACCCCTCCCCCGCGTAAGATGATGTCTGGCCGTTGGTGGGATGATACTGTAGCAGTGGCGAAAGAATAAAGATGAAGCCCAAGAAATATGTCAATGTAACTTTTCAGAATATATCGTCGTAGTATTGTTTCTTTAGATCTCACTGCGCCTCACTGGGTCATCCAAGATGAATCAATGGGCTTGACTCGTCGCTGACTGTGAAACGTTTATCGTCCCGGTTTCTCAGTAAAAAAGAACAAACTTTCAAGAATCGCAAACAATCCCGGAAAGAGACGAGAAGATTGTGTAACACGCTTTTAAAAAAGAAGCTTCAGAAGATCGTCTCTCGTTTCGTAATGGCCACGGCTTTGTCGTCAGTTTCTTGGCTTGGCTTACCCAGTCCCCAGTCCAGCTGAGTGCTGCCTAAGGTAGTAGGTATAGTAAGCATCGTGATGCTCCGTCAACCACGTGACGTGATAATCCTACCTAGGTATCAACTGACCTTCATCTCATCTCAAGTTATCTTCCATGGATGTCAAGTCGATCAATTCATAATGGACTGTAGTATTGATAACGATGCATCACATATACTTCAGTTACTTATATCCCATTCATCAGAGCCACAACAATGCAATGATACCCTAACGGCCAAGCGCTTTGCTTATTCTTGTACATCCACATGGTTTGAATAACGCTATGCAAATAATACTATGCATGCTCAATTCTCACTCAATGCAACAACCAGGCATCTAGCCTAACCTCACTACGCAAGCCACCTCATCTCCCCTCCCAGAGTCTAATCAATTCGGCTGCCTCCCCGCTTGTTACAAATGTTGCTTCACATTCTGACTTCATCCCCCACTCACAAAGGGAGGCAGAAACCTTCTTATTAGACTTTTAGCATTCTTCACTCATCAAAGTCTGAACACATCAAAGCTCTCTTCTCGTAAAATGATCAATGGATCTCACAAAAAGGCAGTGGATGTCACAAGGCATAGCAGCAGCATGATGAAACAGTAATTGTTTTGTTATTTTTTTGTTGATTAACCCCATGATGCTCCATCATATCAAGGCATTCCTCCTTCTGTTGCCGGGGTGTGCGATAATTATATACAGTTCTCCCATCGTTAACTTTGCAACTGATGTTTGGCATCCTGGCCCGTGAAACTCCCTTATATTCGATTGGCAAATCCCAGTACATCGACAGAGAACAGCGGACCGTCAATACGCGCTGACTTTTTATACATCCTCAAAAAAAGCAAACGATGGTTTCTGTCCATCTCCCAAGAAGCGTCCTGTTGACCCTTTTTCTGCTTTCACCAAGCAAAGACGCCGATATGACAAAGAGAAAATGGCCGGTCACATTCAGCCCAAAATGCTTAGACTCCGTTTCCCCTTCTTATATATAGTGAGACAAAGGAAAGAAATTGATTGAGTGGTATGTGATATTGCTTCAAGCAGATTGCTGCGGCTGCGCTCGCCTGTGGTCTATAGGGGTATTTGATACACGAGGTATACGAAAAAAAAGAACAAGAGTAAACAGATGTGGAAAGGGAGAGATTGCGAAGAGGTAATAATAATAGTAATGTGCAGAAGGCGGCGTGAATATCCGGCCGGGTATTTGTTGAAACGTTGAGCGTGCTGAAGAGAAAGGGGAATAAAGTATGTATAGTCAAGCCAATATGCCCAGAAATCAAACAAACCGCCCACGTTGCAACAATGTCAAAAAGATCAAAAGGGTTATCCATCTTAACCCAAACACCCAAACACCATGACTATGCGAATGATATCAAAATAACTTTTCCACGCCACTGGACGTAATCATAATGGGTTGTGTCCAGATTTTAAAACCCTAAAAGCGACTGCCGGCTGCCCAAATGCTGGCTGCTGCTGACGCTGCCCATTCACTCTCCTCATACGGTGGCGTAGGCCACTTGTACTGGTCTGTCTTCTTGTTGAGGTCGAGAGGCTTGGGAGTAACAGCCTGGCCATCAGTAAACAATACTTGGTTGCCGTTGGCGGAAGGTGAGGGAGTGGGATACGGGTTCATCAACCCAATGTTGCTAGCTGATTGCCGTAGAGGCTTGTTCTGGTTCTGCTCCATTCTCTTCATGGCTCGTTGAGTTGTAGTCATGGCCTCATCCAGAAGCTCATCTTCCTCGTCAGGGGCCTCGTATTGATGCACACCATGAGTGGCTTGGGCCCGTCGTGTACGACTGGAGATGGGACCACCCCTCGCAGCGCCGATCAGGTTGTCTACTGACCGGGCTTGGTGTTGAGGTAGCGAGTGATGTCGCTTGAGGGTGCTGGTAGGCGAGATCTGGTGAGCGGGCGGAACGGGAGGTCTCGAATCGAGGTTGTTCTGAACATCTCGGAGGGCCTTGTCAAGAGATTCGTAGACCTCGGACTTGGGAACGGGAGCCTGTTGTTGCGGTTGGTCAATAACCATGGACGACCGGTTGCTAGCCCAAGGGCCACATCCAACCTGGGCCTCCAGGTCGTCATCATAGGAGGGTGAGACGGGGGTCTGATGTCGTCCAGAGAACCGCCGCGCACGTTTTCGGAGATGTGAAAAGAAGCTCTCCTTCTGTCCAGACGGAGGGGAGGCGAGGCCAGAATTCCCATTGAGAGCACGTTCGGCTTGTTGCCGATGCATTTCTGTGTAGTTGTTTGTGCTTGAAGCGACAGAGAGCTGTCGGCCAAGTTTCTTGGTCTTGCCCTGGCCATGTCCATTAGCGTAAGCGTCGTCGTAGGCGTTGTTGGCGCGGGCATTTACAGCATCAGGGATCGGCGAGATGGGTCGCGCGGTAGGCAGGATAGGCATAGGTGCCACATTTGAGGGGCCGTTTGTCCAAGTGGCTCTCTTTCCAGCAGCAGGGCGAGCCTTTGCGGTGACCGGTTCGGGAGCGGGACGAGGACCAGCGGGTTCCTTTGCTTGGGTCTGCATGGTGACCAGGTCGGTGCTCTCAGAACGGCCGATGAGGGACTTGCGGAACCAGGATTGCTTGACGGAAGTCGGTGTGGTGGAAGCTTCCTTGCTGCTTCGGCTGAGATCGGATTGCTTGCGGCCGAGGATTCGAGAAGCGGAAGACTTGGGTCGAGTAGGGTCCACAGCATCGATGAAGTACTCGTGGGCAAGAGCTTGAGATGATGTTGGGCGGTTCTTGGGGTCCCACATCAAGCACCAAGTAACAAATTGAGCCAAAGATGAAGGCCACTGAGGTGTTTGCAAAATCGTGTCCATGGCATGGGGAGCCATCTTGGGGAACGAGAAACCCAGCTTGCCGGCGAGCCTGGTGCCATCGCGCCAATCGCCTCCGCCAACTCTGTTGCCCGACTTGTTGTACCAGTTACCTGGGCTACCCATAATCTCACAAACTCGCCAAACTTGGTCAACCTCGTTTCCACCAGGGAATAGCGGCTTGAGCGTGGCAATTTCAACAGCCATGGCTCCAACGGCCCAAATGTCGACAGGAGCCGAGTACTCGCCAGCTCGCAGAAGAACCTCTGGAGCACGGTACCATCTTGTAGATACGTAAGTGGTGTAAGGAAGCTTAGAGTGCGTCTCGCGGGCGAGACCAAAGTCGGCGATCTTAACGGTGTATGTGGGGGGTGTTGAAGGAGGAGTAACGAGAGCAGAGTATCGTCGGAATGTGTTGCCAGACTCGTTGTGGCCGGATGTTGTGACGAGAATGTTTTCGGGCTTGATGTCGCGGTGGAAGAAGTGGTGAGAGTGGATGTGTTCCAGACCCTGCATAATCTGGTAAAGGATGCTCTTGACGCTGCCGTTGTCAAGGCACTTGTGGTCGCGAGCCTTCATCAGTTGGTAGAGGTTGCCCTCCATGTACTCCATAGCGATATGAAGCTTCTTAGTGTAGGGGTCCAAGAAGATGTCGAGAGCAGGAACAAGGTGAGGGTGGTGTGGTAGTGTGCGAAGGAAGACAACTTCACGAAGCTCCAAGCATGGTGTTAAAGACTCGAAGGTTTTCTTCATCGTCTTGATAGCAACCTAGAATGGGTTAGCTGTGACACGACAGGACGCACATCGTGTCGACTTACCACTGTACCTCGGCGAGCAATGTTGGCACCCGCTGTCCGGACTCTACCCAGACAGACGCTGCCGAAGCTACCATCACCAATTTCCTTCAGTACTTCAAATCGGTCCTCGAGAGAAAGCTGTTGACCATTTGAACCCCGATGGGTCAAGTCGTTTTGAACAGTCATCATTTCGAATTATGATCGAGACAATCTATTGTCGAGATGCAGTGTGACACGCGTGGAGTCGGGATCCTTGGGTGCTCTCGATGTTGACCGGCGGCGTAACGAATATACCTAAACCAGGCCAGAGACAATAAGCTCTATCAAAGAGCTAAAAATCGATTTATCGGAGCATTCAGTTCGGTGACGATGATTTTGAGAACGACGACGAACGAAGGACCTGAGGGCGTGTGCTGTGTAGAGCGTATAGTGCAATTGTATAGCGATAGACGGGTAGCTAGTTCCTCTGTTGTATGTATATTTAATGGGAGGAGAGGATGGATGGTGGCGGAGGTTTGGTTGATGTAAAGTAACGATGGACTGAATAGAACAATGGGAGGGTCGAGAAGGAGGGGATGTAAATGGGGAGAATTATTCAAGACGACGATGAGAATAAACGTCAATCAAGGAGATGAGATCGTCCCAGAGGGTCCAGGTTCCAGAAGAGCAAAAGGAGTGACTGAAGTGAGGGTGATTGCAGAAGTGGATAGGGTCGATATTAACGAAAAGGAGAGGGAAAGCTCTTGCCCAGGGTCAAGGGCCAGGGGGGAGTGGCTTGAACCTGCCGATCGGGGCAGGATCCTCAGACCACTAGTCAGTAAGGTATCTCCCCAGCGAACAGTTTCCCGCTCCAGCCTTAGTGCAATGTGATTAATGCGATGCGCTGGGCATTATATTGATTGAGCCGGTGATTTTCAGTCAAAGTCAACAAATGTTGTTATTGTTTCTATCTTGAAGCAAGTGAGGGGAAGATGATAAGAAATGCAGGTGAGCAAAGCGAGAAGTCCAAACAGTGAATGATTGGAGTGCTAAAAAGGACAGGGCGGAAGACCAGTCAATCCCCCAGAAGAACCCAAAAGAGAAGCCAAAATCCAGAAGCCAAAGAGCCTGTGCAGAGGCGTCGAAGGGTGAGACGAGACGGGGTGTGCGCGGACGTGGGTGTGTGGTGGTATCCGTCAACAGCAGCCAGCTTTGGCCGGTGGAGTTCACTCTGCTCAGGTGCAGGGAAGCCGTGGAAGAAGAAGCAATGGAGACCTCGCCCAGGGTGCTGTGATGGGATGGGATGGGATAAGATGATGGGACGGGATAAGAACGTCGAGTCCAAGTACTTGCAAACCGTGGGCGGGACCTTGCAGAAACTTCCTACACCCTAGCAATGTGGCTGGGAAGAAAGGTACTCATGGCGTCAGCGCGCGGTAGCTTTTTTCATTCAACATGTCACTCTACCACCGTGGGCTGCCCACTTCGAATGCCCTGGTCGAAGAAATGGAAAGCTCAGCACAGAACAACACACAGCAACACCTTCGGTTCAGGCTCGAATTGCCAAGATGGGTGTACGTACCCGCGATCCGGTGGGCACTTTTCCCACCTGAGAGGCTTGGAGAGACGGAACCCGACCAGCACAACAGAGCTCAGTACAGTGGACTGTGGCCTACAGCAGCAGCACTTGCTAGACTTAATACCGACCTACTGGGGCGCAGGCAGAGTCTTCAGAAGACATGCTAACTCGAGCCTTATGAACTTAGTCCGAGTCACGGCAGTTCAAGTACTGGTACCTTTTTCTGAGTTGAATTCAGGCCTGAGGATCAGGTACAGAATTCGCAACAGTTCCTATACTGGCAAATAGCCCAGCATCCATTTCTCTGTCTACGCGAGAGGCAAAGAGAATTTTTTTTTTCACAAGAATTATACTATCGAATCGGCGCGAATCTGCGTCACGAAAGGAATTCCGATACTCTGGGTGGAATATCAAATGTCCCAGACAACCAAGGAATGAAGACCAGGGTCCACGAGCAACAGCCAGAGATCCAAAGGGTGTGCAAGGTTTTGGGAATGGAGCAGTCGAAGCGTCTCCAGGGAGGGTCAGAGGGTCTCTTCCATGGTGTCGTGTGGCCCTCTCAACTCTGACGGGACTGGCTGTTCGCTGGTATGGGCTAGAATGCCCGGCTTCCCAAGTGTTAGACGACGAATAGCAATGAGTCGTGATAGATCACGGGAGATTTAAACCTCTAACTTGAGCCCGTCGGCTATTGGGGATAAGGGTCAGTCTCCAGCGGTCCCAGATAAATGGAAATCACTTTCTCGCAACCTGGGTGAATAGGATGACAGAACAATTGGGGACGAAACTCAAGAAACGACCTAGGGTCACCGCGGGAAAGCTCCCCTGGATCCCCTAGAAGCTTCCTAGGATTTTTTTTTTGGACCATCAATCCAGAGCAACCACCGGCGATGACGGTGTCACAGAAGTGACCGTCTACCTACTGGACTTTTTGGGACTTGCTAAGTTGCTAGCCATCGTTCCGTCTATGGTAGACACGGGGAGCAAAGAGATGAAGTTCCTAGTGCCCAACTTGGAAAACCAATCCCAATCTCGCAAGCACCAACAGGCCCGCCTCTATTTTCCCATGTTTTAATAACGTCTTTTCGGGGATAGCTCTCCGCGTTGCAAATTGTCGCAATTTGGGCGCAAATCGGATACACTCAAAACGTTCTACCAGCCGTGGAGCATTTGATAGGCACGCAGGGTCTAGGAGATGAGCAATTCAATCTGTCTTGTCTCCCATGACCACCACTTCCATGCCTCTAGTATTAGATCGCCAAAAGCGCTCGACAAATAATGATACTACGGCTGATAGATATTGGTATCACAATGCGGCGTTTGTTGGCGATGCTTGTTGGAGAAGTTAACTTTGATGAGCCAAGCAAATTGCTAAGATTGGACATCAACCCCCGCCAGACGCGTTCTGTACCTACCTTTTGGCAGACGCGTTCAGGCGCTCTCGCTCACTACCTACACGCGCTGCCCTATCACCTCAGCCTCGGCCGGTTTTCGTGACCTGGCACCACAGACCTCGAGTTTAGATATTAAAATATTAGCCTACTGTTACAACCGTCTATCTATTGATGCCCTGGAGCACAGCGAGCTCAGGTCGATTATCGAAGCGAAACGTCAAATCTTATCTTTGCTCATGTGGACTGAACAATCTTTGGTTCATTCGCGTGGCGCTCGTCAAATTCCATCTGCAAGAGCCTCCGAGTGTCCTGGTTGTGTCTCGGGGTCGCATGAATTGGCTTGTCAACCTGCCCCTCGTTCATCCCCCCAAACCTTACCTTGAGTGTTCTCTTCAGGGCCCTCGTGGGCTAATTGGTACGTGCGGAGGCCGTCTTCCAGCGGCCGGGGGCATTAATAAAACAGCCTGTCTAGCTTTGACGCTTTTCCTTCTGTCGGGACGTGCCCTTGGATTATGCTTCCAGGGGCCTTCGAATAGATTGAAAAGGGGGAGGGGGCGGGAGGGAATGGCAACGAGGGGCATTGAGCATTCAAGTGACGAAACAGATGAGGGACAAAGTTAACCTGCTTGGGAATCACGGCTTTGCGACTGACAAAGCTGTGACAGAAGGGCAGGCGGCGGACAGTTTGAAAGCGTGTTGATGGAAACAAGGACCAGCTTTTTCCGAAACGTGCGGGCAGACCCTTGTCACACACGTGTACAGGTCCGTTGGTAGTGCGAATTATGCAGCGCCATTCAGGGCATAACTGGACATAAGACGCCACAAAGTCTTGTAACCGTTGAGCTGAAGGCACTGTCCCTGCTTTCACAAGTCGATCATGACGGCGGATAAACTCGTGAGCCCTAAAGTGGTTCCCGGAGACTCACTCCAAGTTGCTCTCAGCTACGGATACAGGCAGATCGATATTGGATGTACAGCAACATGGTGTCATCGTGCTTGAGTTTGGAAGCCTGTTTGTTGACAAATGCAACGTCATGTGGAAGCTAGCTCATACACACGTTATTACTATCACAAATCAACATTATCAACTACCAACAGGGTCGTGTTCGATCTGGTATTGTCTACTCGGCATAAGAAATCCCAACTTACGGATACGGAAGCTGCCCTAGATTGTTCGATCCAGGGTTTGAGAAGGTCTGAATTTTCCTTCCTCCATGCGAGATTGTTCCTCCATGGTTTGATGAGAGCCTGCTCTGAATGGTACATTAAAACAATTAATTATGGCTACACCAACCAGACCAAACCCAGCCTCCAACCCACCGGTCTTCGAGCCAACCGTCCGGGGTGTGGGGCCGCTGCCAGGGGCCAGCCGCCGGACCGTGGACTCGACATGGAGGGCCCAGGTCAATTTCACTTCACTTCACTTCACATCACACTGCCTGGGCTGGGCTGCTAGGTCCTCGTTAATTACCAAACATCTTTTCATGCCTGACTATGAGTGGATGCCCTTCCATTCGGTCGGTACTTTCCAAAGAGCTGATGCAGGTACCAAACATTCAGGTACCTGCCCTGATCGTCTCTGAAACCCTGGACTTGGACTCGCTCGCTCGTGAATAGCATTGCTAATTGTACCGTGCACTCATATGCTTTTTCCCTCTCGGGGCACGCTTCCCGATCCTGGACTCGCCTGTCACGATGCCGCAGGATCATCGACCCAATGCAAAGGACACACGCCCGGGGAACGGAGATTGCCTGCGACAGAATCACGGGCGAGCCTGGACACGATGATACCGTACGGTAGCATTCCCGGGTTGCCCGGTGTCGCGGAAAAATCTACCAGACCTTCTCGAAGGAAAGGCTATCCTGGCCCAATGGAGTGGACGACCTAGGCGTCGATCCATCTCGCAGCGCAGAGCAGAGCAGAGCAGAGCAATTGTGGTGATTGACGCGTTCCTCGAACTGATTGTCCACGCCCCTCCCTCCCCTCCATCCCCCCTCTCGTTGCTTTTCTATTGCTATCTCACACAAAGTGATAGATGAGTGTATCCCTTGAAGTTGTCTCTTGTTCAAACAGGTAGTATTCGCGGCATGAAACGCGGCGATACCTGAGGAGCCGCTGCGCCTGTTACTACCAAGCCTCGCTCATGCAGCCACTGGTGGCCGGGAAGATAAACATTAGGATGGGCTGGGTCGCAGGTGTTTCGAGTCAGCGCAGGCGGGGTGGACTCTGATGCCATTGTCCCTGCATTTTCCAACCCAGCTAAACCTTCAACCAAAACCCGTCACGGCCCAAGGCTATCCAGGAGTTCCCTGTGCGACACACGTCTGTCACTCAGCGACCAGCTGCACAGATGGTAGATGATGCGAGCGAACCCGCGCCAAAGATCTCTCGCAGGCCCGTTCATTCTTCAGGTTGATGTTTGAGGGACCTATAGCGGTAGCTGAAGGGACCATTATCATTATGCTCAGTGCCTGACCCTACGGATGACCTGCCGCAGCAAATGGCCTGCATGATGGCCCTTAGGCGCCGAAACGCGGTACGCACAGATGGAGGCTGGCGGGTGAACAGCCAGACATTGATAAGATCCTTTCTTTTTGACGCGAAAGGCAATGGTGACCGGTTTCTGACCAACATTGAATTGATTGAATTGATGAGCTCACTACCAACGACTTCATAATACACAGTTCCTGATTCCAGGGCCGTACCTGATCCAGACTGACGTGCCGTGCCGTGTCTAAAAAGAGTGTGCGCCTCGATCCCAATCGATTTAGCTCAAACATTGTCGTCATTGCACTGTTCTTCTTTTGAGTTGTGCCTGTTTGAGGTGGCTCGGCTCACATCATCTCTGTCGTCTGCCACGAACCCGTTTCTACCATCTTTCATCCGCTGTGCTGACTGACTGTCATCAATGACTTCTCACTGCGTCAAACTCAATTGAAGATCGTGATCGAGCCTGCGCCACACGAGTAATGGCAATCAATGCCTGCCGGTACTAGTACAGTATTCGTATTCCCAGCCCTCGTCTAGTGGCCGCTGCAATGCCTCACTTTTCGATTTCACAGTTCTTCCCCTGCCACCACTTCGCTTCAGTGAAAGGCCTGACCTACCCTACCCTAGCGAGTCGCCAAAGCCAGCCAACTCAACTCTCTGTCGACCTAAGTTTTTTTCTACTGACATTTGTGGAGTGCAGCCGTCCAAAGGGTTCTTCCCGATGGGACGCCCCGTGTTGCTCCACCTTATCTTAGCCTTGAGCCCGTTGGCTTTTCTTTAGCGTGCTGTCCAACCGCACCGTTGACGGTAAAGTAAAGCCAGACTGTCTTAAGATTCTAGGAACCACTGGTTTAGGGTTTGGATGATCGGTAACATACCAATGATGCGTTCGCTGAGTGAGTAATGCTCAGGGCAGAGTTTTCAGCAGCTGTCCCTTAGGAGGAAGTTTGTAATGCATGCTCTTGGTGTTAATGCTGAGATCTGGCTGGCTGGATCCATTACCCCGTCACCGCATTGTCGGGTCTTTTTGACGTGTTCCGTTTCTCTAGGGACCATTGACCATTGTTGATGTTGATGCATGATCCGCCAGCCGGAACCTGAGCTGGCACTTCCGTATTGGCCGGGTTGATAGCGAAGCAGGCATTTTCTTTTACGTGGATTCGTGCCAATGTGGCGATGTCTGTCCACCTTGGAAGTTGTAATCATCCCGAGAGCTATGGTAGTCGATCTTAGCCCGCTTGGATCACCTGTCATGGTGGCATCGTTCGTGGTGAAGTCATGGACGACGATTGGACGCGACAGCGCGACATGTCGATCTATTTTGTTTTCTTTTGACGAACGCGAGCGAGGATCAGACTGGGCCCAGTGATGCTCATCGCAACCGATGCTCAGTGGAGAGATACCTTGACAGCTTATCTTGAAGCACGGATCCAGGGACCAACTCAACTGCATCAGGCGGGCTGATTATCGCAAGAGAATCGGCCTGTATCGGAGGTCAATGATTGTCACCAGTTTTTGTTTCAACGCAAGAGTCTAGTTTCCTGTTTTCTCAATGTCCGTGGGTGGTGATCTTGTCACGCTGTTTTGGACAAGCTAGCTTCAGTCTATTGCTGAGGCTTGCAGAAGCGCAAGTCAAAAGGCTATCTACCCCAGATCTTGTGGCCAAGATGAGAATGAATTGGGCCTGATCTGGAAGACCTCACACCCTTATCGGTAAAAGGCATCTTCTTACAGCCTAGACCTTGACCTTGTTGTAACTCTGTAGCCAGCATGTTGCTGGTGGGTTTTGCGATGAGAAAGTGAAGCTTACTACCCCATCGATGGGCCGTTCGCCAAGGGTAGGTCAGTTGGTGATGGATACCTGCGCCTGCTCTACCGTAGACAGGCCGTTAGCAACGAATAGTCTGCGGATATCACAGTCGCTTGACACGTCTTGTTCAACATCACTGCAGCAACATGGCCTGACCCCAGCATGTTGAGAAGAAAAAATTGATGCTTCGTCGGCTAAGGCGGTGACTTGCAGAGTCTGCTTGTCCAGCCACGCGATGAAGACCAATAGCTTTTCAAGAGGCGCAGGGTAGTTGCAGGACAGTCGCCATACGGTCTGGCAGATTCTGTAGTCTTCATGCGGTATCTTGCAGCCCTGCGGCGAGTACGCAAATGCCCGGAGCCCGAAGGTATCGAAATCAGTCGTACATAGATTAAGCGCGGTACACTATTCGATCTGACCAGATGCAGTCATCGAGATAATGCAGTAAACACATGCGACGCAAAGCCTCATGGTGGTCAAAGTAGTCTCAAATCGCCGACTTGATTGTCATGCCAGGTGATCGATGATCTGGGGTTCGGCATCGAGTTAGCTTAACGCTATGTGAGGTTCCGCTCGAGCGGTGAAGACCTCAATTCATGATCCTGTAGGGTAGATGGCGGTGAAAATGTCGGAAGGAGCCAAGCAAGGTATCTTCGCTAACAAGTCTGTGCCGCGCAAGGAGGGTGTTTGAATAGAGAAACGACGTGCATAAGGCTGGTTTTCCCTGTGACAAGGTCAATAAATATGTCAATTGTAGTAGTAGAGGATGAGGTTGAAGATTGCCATGTGGTAAGTGAACATTGTCTGTGGGCCAAGTTGAGCCTCATCCACTACAATGATCAGCACAAGTATGCTTAGATGCGATTCAGATAATCGAGCGCAGAGGCCTTCGGGCTAATGCATGTATTATATGATATCTGTGCAAAGAAATGAGTGGCTGGAGTATTGTTCCGGAAAGTTGCATATATGTAACAGCCAGGAGGACTCGGAGTACTCAAGGTGTCCATCAGGGACATCAAAGTTGAGAATTGAGAATCGAGATTGTGAGTAGAAAGAATCCATTTTGATGATCTGAACTCGCATAAGTCGCGGGCTGGTTCATCTTGAATTCTATATGGTGTTGACCTCTTTGGGTCTTGAGGAGTGTTCAGGGGTTGATGCAAACGGGAGGATACATACAAACACTGTTGAGTTACAACTGAGTGATGCAAATCCACTATATAAACACAGTTGAACACAAGTCATGCATCTTTGGGCATTACTAGGTATCCAACATATCCCTTTAGTTAAAATGCTTCATGATATGCTGATCACGGAATCTACATAACCATCATATTGCAGCGAGACCATACACCAACGAAACTCTGATCTTTACTTATAGGTAACCACTGGAAGTCTTTGTAGTAAACATGAAGACTCTAAGTAGAATATTAGATGATCTTATCGAACAGTGGTGCCTATCCTCAGGGTATCAGAAGAATTGCCCCCAAACGCGTAAGAGATGAAATAATTCGGTCACTTCATGCCAGCTAGGACAAACACTTGGGCTACTTCATCATAGTACCTGCCTACTTTTTAGAAAAAAATTCCTCTGTTGCCCACCTGTCTAGGAAAATTGTAATATCATCCCGGCTGGAGTGAGTTTCCCATGAGCAGAGAGGTGCACCTGCCTCGCCACTGGCAAACAGCCTCCTGCCAGAATCTGCCGCAGCAAACGGAAAGTGCGAGCAGCCGAGTGACGTTTGATGCCTACCTACCTGCCTGCCTAGATAACAATAGACGGGTAGTGAATTGAATAGGCAGGCAGGAGTGCCCGCACTCCCTATCCGTTTGTTACCTGCAGTGAATCACTGTGTGCCTTCTGCCTACAAAACCCCGAGCAGGCAAGTCATTCTCTCCCCCTCATCCTTTTCTCTTCCACAACACACACGCACATCAAGAACTGCAACTTCTTTCATCCAACAAGTGTGCACGATGGCCAGCAACCGCAACAATCAGTATCGCTGCACCGTTGGCGGCGAGTGGAAGGATATCTCTGAGTTCAGCAGAAGCCAGCAGAGACGTGCCAGACCCAACAACAGGGAGAACTCAGGCATGATCTGTCTTGCGCACAGCCAGCCATCTCGTGCCGAGATTACTTGTACAGTTTGTTGCAGGACCAGACCCATCGACCAGTACTCCAACAACGAACGTAAATCGGACAACCCGGTATGTTGTTGAGCCAGTATGGAGTTCTTCCACTAATATCATGTAGCGATGCCAACAGTGTGTGGCCTGGGACACCGACCAAGAACACGGTGTCACTCCAATTCCTCTTGCCACTGGTCATGTTTCAATCGAAGAAGATGCCCTTAAGAGATACAAGGAGCCAACTTCTTGCTCAGAATTTTTCACGCATGAGATTCCCGCAGTGAGTCGGTCCTGAGAGGCGTTAACCAGAGTCACTGACATGATGCAGGCCCCTATCACCGGACCTGAAGCACTTGGTCTGCAGGCTAGCGAGTCCACCAACCGAGCCTTCGCCCAGGTCATTGGTAGCTCGACCGCGGCTCGAGTAGCCTCGGAGACCTCCAGCGTCGTGAACGAGACCATGTCCGTCACTTCCAGCCGTGTCACCACCACCTTTCCACCTCACCTGAAAGCCCGCTGGGAAAATATGACACTTGGAGGAAAGTCTGCTTCTGAGGAAAACTCCAAGACTGCAGCTACAACAAGCAACCAAAGCGTGAAGATGCTGCCCCCTCACCTCCGCAAGCCCAAGTTGGAGCAGAGTGGTGAAACTGACAGCGTCTCTACGGCCACAACTATGCGAAAGGAGAAGGAGGAGACTGCCGCCTCTACCAAGATCCTCTACAATGCATGGGATTCCAAGGGTGTTCAGCACAGGGTCACCAAGGACCCTACTGTCGCTTCTAGCTCTGCTTCTGTTTCGGCTGCTTCTACGTCTGGAGAGACCGAGTCCCTGGGTCGCGGTAACGGCAAGTGGCCTAAGGCTAGCGAGGCAAGTGATCAAAAACTTGAGATTGAGCTTATTGACTAACTTGAGATGCAGTACATGATCTCCCGTGCGGACCTTCAAGATCAAAACCAGCTGGTAGGCCGCCCAGCGCAGAGCGGAGAAGATGACAAGGAGCGTCGAAAGAACTATAGATGATAACTTAGCCGATTGCTGGTGCGGATGCGGATGCATGAATCCATATGGGCTTTAGACTGCAACGCCGAAAATAAGCCAGAAAACAAAATGCAATGATATTTCCTACCCATGACCAAGACTCCCGTAGAAGTATTTTTAATCCATATACATGCTTCATGGTCTGCCAGCAAGACAGCCGTCCACCTCTTCAAGCTAACCGCCATTCCCTTCGTATCCAATGCATCATGTACAGTGTATCCTCATCGTCACGAAAAAACGATGTTCGTCTTTCCCACCTCTTGCGATTAGGAAGGGTTTTACCTATAATATAAAAATAACCATATCGTATCCCAACTTTCATTTCACTGCCCAAGCATGCGTGCAACGGCACGCTTCGTTATGTCGCATAAATTCTCAACGTTGCTCTTCAGACCAGAAATTGATTCTCCTGTCACTGAAAGCCACCTAGTCTTGCGCTCGTGAGCGAAAGGATCTTCGTCCTCCGATTCGAGTAGCCTCTTCCCTCCTCTTTCAAATATCCAAGTTTCCTGTGCGCTTCTGTTGGCGTGGTACTCCTCCGGGCATATCGTCGTCAGCCTCGTGGGCATGTTGTTAATGTTCTTGTGTATCCTCTCTTCCATCTTCCTCCTCCTCCTGATCTTATCTCTTGTAATAGTTGCTGATGATATAGTAGCATCACGATATATTTTCGTCTCTGTTTTGCTCCGGCGCACGGCTCTTCCGCGGGCGATCATGATTCCCTTTGTGTAAGAAAAAAACCCATTAGACTTCCTGTGGACTGCTATAGTTGCTTCGTGGCGGCGCGTTGACCACCGCCTCGGCGTCGCCCACCTGTTTCCGTTCCGATATCTCTCGGTTTCGGCTCTGTAGTCGTTTGCGAAGAACCCAAGGGGGAACCTGAAAGTTCTGTGCGCCGGCGCTAAGTGATTGCTATTGGAGAGGTTCGGAGGACGAGGATAGACGGTTAAGGTGGAGGTAGACATCGGTACCGTATCTGTTGGAAAGAAAGGTTAATCACGAATTTGCTCTTAAGGGCAGGGGTACCGAATGTCCTGTGAATTGGTGAGTATAAAACTTACCCTTCCATACTGATGAGTTTCAAGTCACCGCCAAAGTAGCGGGCGTATAAGCGTGAGATGGGCAATCCGTAACCAAAACCGGCCATTGGGGCCTTGAAGTCGCTCTTATCGAAATCAGGATCCAGGCTTGGTGTGCGATCGACAGTGGTGTACATATAAGTCCAAACGAGAGGAATGGCGCTTCGAGGAATACCGCCACCCTCGTCAGAAATCTTGATGGTGATGTCCTCTTTACCCTCGGCGACAATGACCTTTGTGACAGGGAAAGCCTGTTTCTCCTCACCGTGTGTCTCGACGACGGCGCGCAGCGAGTTCTTGAGAGTCTCGAAGAGCATGTGTGACAGATGACCGGGAACGTACATAAAGTCGAGGTTGGGGTTGCAGACGAGTTGAACCTTGGGAGCTTCGAAGAGACCGTAGTGATCCTCGCAGACGAAACGGGCGTTCTCAATGGCTTCTTGGGCGAGATCCTGGACGTTGGTCTTTGTGCAGATGATACCGACATAGTTGGGGTCGCGATGGTGGCTCTGGTCCGTTAACGCAATGTGTTGCCCAATAAGCATACGGATTCCGATACGAGACATATAGAAGCGGTCGAGGAACGATTGGATGGTGCTGTCAATCTGCATGCGCTGGCGGCGGCGCTTGTATTCGAGGATACCTTGAGCCATGGTCGTAACGACGCCATCGTGACGGCGCTTGATGTGGTGCAGAGTCTGGGCAAAGCGTTGGTTGTAAAGGTGAAGATCGGCGGGCCAGTCGCTTGAGTCATCGACAACAGCAAAGTATCGGCGCGTGAGGCCTTTGTTCTTGCCATTGCCGTTCTGGAGACCACCCCAGCCGTCGGACTCGCCCTCATCAATTGAGGGATTGGGGGTTGCGGCAGGAAGACGGAAAGCGTTGCGACCGATAGCTTTGCTGGGTTTCATAAGACGGGACTTTATATCCGAGGGTAATTCTGGCCGAGGTAGCTGTGTGATTTCCTGGTCAAGTCAGCATCGCAATTCTGAGCAATCGGCTCATATAATACATACCTCGAACGATTGGGCGTACCAATCTTTGACCTTAATGACGGATGGCATTTCATTGAGGCCATCTGGAAGCTCGTCTAGCTCTTGCACGCGATGAGCTAGACGGATGGGAAGCTCCTCGGCTAAGAACTGAGAAGCTCGGAATAGAGTGCCTTGGAGCAATCAAAGTCAGTAATCGTCCTCAATGGACGTAGAAACAAGCGAAAACATACCAACCGAGGGCTTCTCGCCGAACTGCACCATTTGGCGCAAGCTGACGCCAGTGGCGGGAAACCGAGCATAATGACGGATCGTGTCCATCAGACGCTCTGAAGCTCTCCACGACATGATGGGCGGACGTGGGTCGAATCAGAGAACAAAAGATGAAGTTGTCGAGCGTGACAGTGTTGTATAGAAAGAGGAATCGGACTCGGAGAAGGCAGCTCGGACGGACGGAGGGAGAGACCGGGTTCCCGCTGCGGAAGAGCGTCCGAGAGAGTTGTGAATGGTGGAGAAGCTCACGGCGTCGTCATTGAATAGTCAATCAAGACGAGAGGAGTCGGGCGACTGTATCGTCAAGAGGAGAATTGACGTGGAGAGAAGAGAAGGGAAAGGAAGGATGAGGTGAGGTTGGTTGAGGTTGGTCGGGGATTCGGAGAGGAGGGTATCAATGATGGCGGCCCCGCGTATGGAGATGGAGATGATGGAGACGCAAGAGAGGCGTGCGAATAGCGGGAGAAGCCGAGGTACGCAAGTTACAGTATAATATAGTATTGTATTTGGCAAGCAATCTCGTGCTTTCAACAACGAACAATTGATATTTTTTTATAAACAGTGTCGCGTGAGACCAAATGGAGACGCGCACATGAAAATGAAATAATCCGGAGGGGACCAGGAAGTAGTGGAAGAAGAGGTTAAAGGGTGCGGAACTGCTCGGGGAAAGTCCAGCGATTCATGAGGAACTAAATGATTCTTCCGGGGAACAGAACAGAACAGAGAGAGATACCGAATTAAACGTCATTCTAGTGGAGGAAAGACTGCTATCTATGGAGTGCTTGGCTTTTTGCACATGTGGGATCAAGTATGGGGAAGCATTAGATTTAGAGCAGAGGGGTAGACAGACTATGAGACGGATGCAGGCACATGATGGGGAACATTCAACCACAGAGACAACTACAGTATCTGGGGAATTGGACTACGGGGTAATGGAAGGTCACGAGGACCTGATATTCGAATTATGTTGAGGTTTTTGGACCCTTGAGACGATATAGAACAATCTGGATCATGACTTTAGATCCATGACAGTAATTACAGTTCCCCTCATCACCGCCGGTCTCCGAGCTCCAATGTCGGGGCACGGATTTCTCAGCTCGGGGGAAGACACGGCATGTCATGTCAGGCCACGGGAATGACTTTGCATAACATACCACTATTCGCAGAATTCTGTACTGATTTAAAGACACGGGGGTTTGTTTTCACCACTCAAGAGGCGAGAGACCTCGGCCTAGATTCTGGGTTTATGCCGCCATGGACCGTTGTTGATGATCTGACAGAGTTTCTTCTTAAGAACCTTGTAGTCTGGGCTGCTTCTTTCATCCGATACATAACTCGACAGGCGGGTAACAGAAGAATTGTCCCAAGGTTTAGAGTGTCAAAATGGAAGAACCCAAATGCTAGTCTAAACTGGCATGAGGTAACTAAATCACCTCATCCCTTACGTCTTCAGCGGCCAATTCTTCTGACACCCTGACGTCGAACTTCGAGTATGAGAGGCTCGCCTCAGGGTATCAGAAGAATTGGCCCCTAGAGACATAAGAGACGAAATAATTTGGTCACTTTATGCTAGCTCAGACCAGTAGTCAGGTTACTTTATTATGGAAGCCTAAACCTTGGAGGACAATTCTTCTGTTACCCACCTGGCTCGGTGGAGGGATGCCGTACAGTACCGTATACAACGGTTACGGTATGAATGTGATATTATGCGTCAATCCTGATCTGACATCACTTTGAATCATGATCACAAGAGCCTTTGTTGCATTGTAGAGACATGTCAAACCTGTTCCCAAGAGTGGTCGACTCGGGTAGAATCTCGATTCACTGCAGTCTCTTCTCATCTTGGCCAAGTCGTCTGTACTCTGCAGCAAACAGACAAGTTCCCCAGACTTTGAACCCAACTCGGTATGGAGAGATCATCCTTCACAAAGCCGACTAACTACCCCACACCTCAGCACAGGCACGCCATCGAGGACACGGACTAGCTGCTCGATGGACATGGAAGTTGACGATAATATCAAGTCATGTTATAGTGGTTGGGTAGCTATGGTCAAGCCAATTTGGGTCACTATCGTGGGTTCATGTTCATGCAAGCACTTCATGTATGTACAACGTGGTGAGACAGCAAGGCACCAGCAAGGCACCATCGGGTCAAGACCTCGACAACGTGTCCCAACTTGAGAGCTTTAGGGTAACCGCAAAGCCTCGGAGTGTCCTTGTCGATTCCAAGAAAGCTTCGAAGCTCACCACAACTTGCTCGAGGATCTGCTCAAGTCCAAGCCTTATGCGCTGTCATCCGACTTGCGGAATATGGGTGACTCAACTTATTGATCACGTGAGCAAGCTCCAGTACCAAGATTCCATTGTCTTGCTTCAGAAGGTCAGAGAAACAGAGACGACATCGCTGCCCAGCAACAAAGACAAAAAACGCCTCATTCTTGTTCCAGCATGGCACTAGGAGGTGGACAACTCAATCGTACATGAAATCGGGCGTCTAAAAGCTGAGCTGTAAGAACTGCCAACACGTGAAGGTCAAGACCCAGCAGAGCAGAGCATAAAGGCATGACGTACCTGGCTTTCGATGTTATTTAATTGGCTCTCGGATTAAATATGGGTCAGAGTTCCATCTCCCGTCCCGTTGATTGCCCGTCGACCATTCATCGAAGTTTCCCCGCCTCGACGGAAGGACTAAAAAAGTGATATGCTACCTTACTGACAAGATAAGGTCCCAAGCAAAACGGCCGGCGTCAAGTTAAGAGAGCAACGAGATTTGGTGGCTGTCATCTTCAATACTGACGGTTTTATTGACAATTTACCTCTTTAGTAGCTCTCACGAGAGTCATATTTCGGTTACCCTACCTTCCGCCCCCCTTTTTTTCTTCTTCCTTCCTTCCTCTGAAAGGCCCTGGCCAGGTCAGGCTGGCTCCTCCCTGCGCTGCGGCCCACGCGGGGCCCTTTAATTTTTCTCTGCTGGTTGGTGGACGTGGCCAGCCTCCCGCTCTTTTCCAGGGGAGTCGGTGAAGCTGGGATCTCTTTTTTGCTCCACTCTTGAACACGTCGGTCGGGTGGTGCTCATTTATTTTAGGCGGATTTTCGATGCTTCTCTTAAGAGCGCGTAAAAGGTACTTTACTCGTCTTGTGGGAATCGTTGGAGCTTGTCTTGAACGTCTGTTTTGCGCGCGTCTGTTTCTGTGTTACTACTACCCGCCCTACCCGTACTCGAATTCCAACACCCGGAACCCCAATCGAGAACAACATCAACAAAACTATATCGAAATAAGCAATCATGGATCTCGCTGCCATTGACGAGGATCCTGCTGCCGCACTTGCTGCAGTTGAAGCCGATGCCGTGTCTGCAATCTCAGATCAGCAGTTCCTCTTCTCGACACCTGATCGCAAACAACTATCAAATCAATCTTCCAACGCCACAACACCAGCCCCCGGATATTTTTCTTATGGAAGCATCGACAGCAATTATCGCAATGAATTTCGCGACCGATATCACGACGACCAAGATTATCCAGGTCTCAGGACGCCCTCGTTATTGTCTAGCCCAAGTGTGGCTTCGAGTCTCGGATTCTCCACCGGCCGCGTGAGCCCCCATAAGAGAGCAGAGTCTGTACATTCGAGATTATCTTCCATAAACGACTCATCCCGCAATTCTTCTCCTTCTGAGCGCCGGAGTCACCGACCGCGGAACAGTCGCGATGTCTTGGCGCAAAGGTTGAGCCAGCTTGCTCACGAGCTTACCTCTGGCGAAGATGATCTTCTTGACGATAGTGGCGTCGACATTCTCACCGCGCAACTGGATCAGCTGGAAGGGACAAAGATGCTTAAGAAGACTGTCTCATTTTCCGTGCCATCAACACCATCACCGCGACCAAACATTCGACGACCAGTGAGCTTGGATATGTACAGCCCTGGCGAATCTATCTTCAGTACCCCAGGCTCGGCGTTTAAGACACGATTCTCAGACTTGGGCGCATCTATTAGAAGGGATCCTGAACCAGAACCGACACCAGAACCTGATCCTCCACCAAACCTGGGAATGACGGTGGTACAGGCGAAGAAGGTTATTCAAGAAGTTACACAACTTAACGAGGAAATGTCTCAACTTGTTGAAAACCTCAAGGCTAGACAAGAAGAGTCTGATGTATGTGAAAATTCTCTCTTTGACATATTTATATACTTACGATTTCATAGCATATTCAAGGCCTTCTCATTGAGCGTGCCGAGCGTGCTGCTCAGCGCATTATCTTCCTTCAAAACCGCATATCTCATCTGTAAGTGTGCTCTCTCATCCCAACACCGACTATTCTAACATTGAACAGTGAGCAAGAACTGCGCGAGAACGATGATGAACTCCAGTATCTTCGCATTTGTCTCAAAGCTGTTGAGATTCAAATGCCTGCACACCCCGATAAAGAACTCCAAAGATGCATATCCTCCTTCAAGAAAGATTACCAAGCCCTCAAACGAAAACGTGTCAACCGCTCCAGTATCGCCAGTTTATCCAGTCTCGGTTCGCCTTATCCTGGATCGCCAGCATGACGGAGCTCTTCACTCAACGTTCTTGTTCGTTCGCGATGGAAAAATTAGCAGCGATGCGCAACGCTTAAACGACTCACGACGTACTTTAATCTCTCACTATAATTGCGCGCTCACGCCTTAACGCTTTACGACGTTTCGCTTATTCTTTTTACACGATTCGTTCTCATCACCGTACTTCTTAGCAAGGTAATGACTCAAATGTCATATATTTCACCGTACCAACTTCGTAATGCTACCTCTCATTACACCCGCTCAAACCATCAAAATCGGATACCCTTTTCGGAAGCAAGCTTGTTTGTGTTTCTCACTTGCATAAAAAACCGGTGCATTACGGCATAGCGATCGTTTTTTACATTTGGCAGCGATGCCTTCTTATCATTTTAATGGCACGGCATCTATTGAAACCTCAGTTTGGTTTCTCTCGCATTGTTCAAGTCGGAATTTTTATTCGACAACCTCATGATAGCAGGCATGACAAAAAAGGAATATGAGTTTTATTGTTCAGATAGTATCGTATCAATTGATAGACTGTCTTTGTGTTCACAAATGAGCATCGACGCCAACGTGGAACCTGTTAAGCGAGCCCTATGCTCATTTACCACATCCCTGACCGTGTTGTTGATCCATCCCCATTCATATCGATGTCAATGCAAACGATGCTTGAAGTTAAAGCAACGCGTCGACCCGCGTTCGATTCTCGGGGAACAACCTTGTTCAACGTCCGTGGATCCTCAGGAACGGTTACGCCGAGGAACTGGAGTAGCCATCCATGAAGCACAACACAAGTTTCCCTCGATCCGCGAGCCGTCAGCCCGTACTCTTTGAATGTCATCCAACACCAATCCCTTTCACAAAACGTCGATCTTGAGTAAGTTCTACTCTGTCCCACCACGTGGCTGTAAAACGTAGTAAACGCATTCCCTTTGAAACGATCATCGGAAGGACAGAACACACAAAGCAATGTGCAACGAACGTGGTATTTTATAACTAGACCTTCCAAGTTCCACACCAAGCGATGATCGCACACTATAAAAAAAAGGCCAACCAAAAGGAAACTCATTACTGTGAGAGGGGAATCATAATACATTTCGTCAATTTGTAGCATAAGGTCGTTAATGTCCGAATAACGAATAACGAAGAGAAGAAAAAGAAAAAAAAAAGCAGTGAGAGAATTGGCTGTAAGAGGGAAAAGAGGAGGTAATTAACAAGCAATGAGTAAGTGCGACCGACAGTAGGTTTGGTCTGGATAAAAGAGATGAATATATCAAAAAAGACGAACAATTGGGAGAAGAGTGAGATGGACAATAGGTGAACAATCGAGGTTCTCTATTCTCCAATTTGGCTGACAATGCTGCTAGCAGTACAGCGTTTTGTGTTTGAGTGGGTGAAAAGAGAAGACCGTTCGTTGGATTGGGTGAATTGAGTCGGGTGCTCAAGGAATTCAGAGAGCCCGATGAGACGAGACCCGCCTACCTACTACCTACCTGTACTAAGGTAGACAGGCACTACCTGCGAATAGGTATGGAGGTTCTCGATTAGGTAGGGCCTAGGCGTAAGAGAAAATCAAGACAAAGAGAGACGGAAATGCTTCCAAGCCAGGTAGTGACGGACGAGTGATGAATGAGCCAAAAATAACGAGAAAAAAATTAGCTCGATCAACAAAAGGGAAATTTGAAGTCTGTTTGAAGGTGAACCTCAAAGGGGGGGAAAGAATTAGAGCCTCAAAAGTGTGCTAGTACACTTCAGCTGCCTTACAGTACCTACCTACTCAAGGTAGGTAGTGTCGGCCACTGGCTGGGCCTACTATATTGGTTCTATCAGGAGGGGGTTTCGGACAGGGAATCTAATGTTAGATCCAACAATGGATATAGATGTACAATGCATTGCATCAACCTGTCCGGAACAGGGGTGTAACTCAGCATATCTACTACAATAGTACCTACTATGTAGGTACCTAGCTAGGTATTTGATCAAAGAGTATACCTACTGAAAGCTGTTAACTAAAGAGAAATAAAATAAACCCTTTATTACATTGCTGGTTCAGACGCAGCTTAGATGAAGGGCACCAACAGTCATAAATGAGATTTATAGGCCAATCAAACATGAGGATTTGAATGTAAACTATGAGTGTTAGTTAGTATTATAACTTGAACTGATATAGCCTTTCTGCTCTCGGTCTTGGAACGTTCGTTATTGAAGCAGAAATTAGATCTGCCAAACCCCTGAAACCCATGTTAAACCGTATCGCAAGACAATCATTGGATCGCAAATAACTCAGTATTGATTTGCAGGATCCTTCAAGCCATGCCTCCATAAGTATCATTCATCTAAACAAAGTTGAATCCTTTCCTGTGCTAGGAATCTCCAACGGCAAAGAGCTAGTACTAGGTTCTAGGCAGGTATCCATCCATCCAGTCGGGTCCCCTTCTTTACAAAAAGTCCACGGGCATGTCAAATCGACTTTCAGGGGGTGGATACCTTGAAAAGAGAAGAAGAAAAAATGTTCTTAACTGACCTAGAATTCCTCTACGAATGACGATCGATTTCAATCTAGATCCCTCACGTGGATCTGGCTTCTTCCCATCATCTTGGTTGGCACTCATTGGATGATCCGCACTAATAACCCCTACCTTGAGCCCATCTCGTCTCGTCTCGTCTCGTGTCGACTAACCTAGATTTCTTTTCACCCTTTTGAATACCTCCTCGAAACCATAAACTTTCCAACTCCATTTCGATCTGCGATCCCTTAGACATCGGGGCTTTTAAGCTGAGCTATTGTCTTGCTTGCCCAGCCTCTCATTTTCATCATTCATAAATTTCCTTTGCTTGACCTACTCGCACTTTCTATCCTCTCTTTGACAACTGACCGAGTCCCTTTCATGTACACCCGACATACAAAGAAAACACAACTATATATATCTACATCGTAAACATGTCGCTTCCGTCTACCAAACCCGCCCAAACCTCGATTCGATCCTTCTTTTCGTCAAAGACTCCTAAATATGCGCCTCCTCCTTCTCAAGCTGCCAACCCTCCTCCTCCGTCACCAGCAGCAGCTGCCCCTCCACCGACCTCGAGCGCAGAAGACTTGACCACGAGTTCGACTTCCGAATCCGGGATCCCTCCTCTTCCGACCTCCCTTCCTCAAGAAGCGACAATTCGACTCGTCTCGGGCGACGACGTCAATGCCTTGCGTCGCATTAACGCTCTGCTCCTGCCCGTGAGTTACCCGGATAATTTCTACCAGCGCGCCGTCGACCCCTCTGCCTCTGGTCGCTTCTCTCGTGTTATCACATGGGCCCATGAGGGAGCTGAGCCCAAGGTTGTTGGCGGTGTTGTCTGTCGAGTCGAACCCCTTCTCGATCCCAACGCCCCAGGGGATGTTCCTCAAAATCTGTACATTCAGTCCTTGTGCCTTCTTTCGCCTTATCGGTCGCTGGGACTAGTGAACGCCGCCGTGGACAACATCGTTGCAACAGCGGTGTCAGATCCCAATTTGAATGTGACAAACGTCACTGCGCATGTCTGGACTGAGAACGAGGAAGGGCTGAAGTGGTATGAAGGTCGAGGCTTCAAGCGCCAGAACCAACCAATTCAGGGTTACTATCTCAAACTACGACCCAACTCTGCTTGGCTAGTCAGCCGTCCCACGGGTGCTTCTGTTCGAGGTCTGTTGCCCATGTCCTCTTCTGCACCTCCAAGCTCTGTCCCTGCAAGTGCAACCGCTGCTGCTGCCAATCTGGACCCGGCTTCAGGTCCTCCTAGGAACGGCGCTTCACGACCGCCCATGCCGCCTTCTGCACGGTCCTACCAGAACCAAGGACCCGAAAGGGAGTGGAACGACTTGCCTGACGATATGGCTGGCAGTCGACTTGCGCCACCGCCCCGCGGGGCTGTTGGAGGTACCGGCTCCGGCGCAAGCTCTAGGAGTAGCTCTGCGGCAAGAAAGAAGAGAGATCGTTCTTACCCTGCTGCAGCCTTCGGAAGCTAGACGATAGGTTAAAAGATGAGGACGGTATAAACTGCATGTTAAGAGGGTGAATATGCTTCATGATGGTATATGATTTAATGGTTCGGAATGAGGTAGATGCGACTGTGTGGAAAGGAGTTGAGTTTAGACTGGTTATAGTAATATTGGAGCGATCACAAGGCGGGCAATAAACTGGGAGTAGAATAATATTGAACATCATCAAATTATATCGTTAAAAAAAAGACTAGTTGCCTCATACCTATACAGCTTTTAAATGCGAGAAGAGCGCAAAGATTGGAAACATGAGACGCCAAAAATCCCAAGAGCGAACATGAAAGCATCGTCTCGGATGTGCATATATATACAAATGTTGTTCCAAGTTAAACAAAACGCCAAAACATGACTTGAATGGAAACAACGACTGATATTGCTTATCGGCGCTTGCTATACCATAGGGCTGCTAGCGCAAGGACACCAACGGCGCCACCGACTAGCAGGGCCTGGTTCGAGACTGGAGATGATTCAACTATTCAAAGTTAGCGGACGTTATTTCACAGGGGCCCCGAATTACCAGTGGCTCGGGGGTATAGGAGTAGAACGTACGGATCGCATTAGAAGACTTGCGAGCGCGGTTGGACTCAGACCTCAGGTCAGTTAGGTAATCCTCAGGCTTCTCCCTGCTGGCAGCCACAAGAGCAATAAGGGCAGCACCGACACCGCTGCCATCCTTGGCAATGCCGATTCGGATCTTCTCAGCACCCTTGGGTCCGATACCTTCAATCGAACGAAGGGCCTCGTAGATCATATCGCGGAAGAATGGGTAGTGCTCAACGAGACTGCCGTCGACACCAATGTCGATCACTTCCTCGTTGATGTCGTCGAGCTTTCCAGAGTTAAGGGCAATAGCACCAATGGCGACGGCGGAAAGGCGAGCGGCACGCCGACCGACAGCATTGGAAACGGCCTTGAAAGCCTGTGCGTCCTCAAGTGAAGGGGTGTAGACGTTGAGCAAGTTCTCGAGCTCCTGGCGAAGAGTCGACAGCTCAGGGGTATTGTCGGCAGCGGCTACAGACATAATGGCACTATCGAGTCCCCAAGGCTTGAGAAAACCAGAAGTAGGGGCAATGTTAGTAGTGGTACCCCAGTCGTTGAAGCTCGAGTTGAGATCCTTGAAGAGGGACGAGTTCTCGTTGTTGATCATGTCGGCAACCGCCAGTCGGACGATCTCGCCCAGGAACATGCCCGATACGCGCTTTTCAAACATCTGATCACCGGGGTTTACGCTACCAGCATCGAGAGCTTTATCCCAAGGTGTAGTGGGCAGAACGTTGAGTTGGTTATCGAACGAACCCCACTCAGTGTTGACAACCATCTCGCCCGTTGACTGGTCAAACTCGCCTGTGATGGGTTTCTTGATGTTATCAAGCTTCTCCATGTAAGCACCGTTGGTGCCAGTACCGAAGATGGCGCCCAAAACAGAGCGGCTCTTGCCAGTGGAGGTGTAGGATCGGGCCATGAGAGTACCGACTGTGTCATTGACAAGCGCAGAAACCCTGACAGGGAGGTGAAGATTGTCGATCTCAGTCTGAAGCAGGGCACATACGTCCTTGCCTACAGCATCTGGGATGTCAAATCCCTTAGTCCATCGAATCAGCAGACCCTTGTTAATGGCAAGCTGTTTAACGGGGAAACTGAAGGTGAAGCCCAGGCGGAAAATGTGCTCATCTCGATATCCGGAAGGGGCGCTGGAAGTGTTACGGCGGCGCAAGTGCGAGTTGAAGTGATCGGCGTGGTGCTCTTTCAGGAAAATTTCGATCTGCTTGGCAAGGAAAGAGAACAGTTCTGAGGACGTCTTCGCGACCATAAGCTCTTTGGGGATGGCAACCTTGTTGTAAGTGAGGTTGAAGGTGGTGTCGCCATTGAGCATAATGGAGCAGACTCGGAAGTTTGTGCCCCCTAGATCGACAGCCAGGTAAAGGCCCTGTCGGCGTACAGATTAGCATGAGCAGCTACATGAGCCAATTGTGGACTGTGCTTACCTTTTCTGTGCCATTGGGAACGCCGGTGACGTAGGTAGGGATCTGCTGGAGACTGGTGCCCTCTTTCTGAAGGCCCTCGTCTAGAAAGGTGTCAGTGTTGGGTTTGTTGAGGCTTTAAAGCCAGAATAGGTGAAATTGCGACAAGCATCATAGCGTCGAACTACAGTAGCACGGTGGCACAGATTGTGCAGAGCGATAGAGTAACATACCCATTTGCCTCAAAAATTCCTTCACATGGCGGTTGAGATCCTCATCAGGGAACTCGAACTGTTCGACGATACGGTTGGATTCATCGGCGAGAGCCATGGCTACTGGTGGTGATGTGGGAGGCGCGGTCGCGAAGGGAGAGGGAATATAGCAGACAGCTTCGGATGCTGTTGGGTTTGGTGGGGGTGAGGAGGGAAAGAGGTGAGGGAATAGGAGATGAAGAGTACGTAGGGGAGAGAAGATTTGGAGAAGAGAAGGAAAAGAAATTAAAATGTTGGTGGACGACAACGAGGTCAAAAGGTTTCTCTGCAGCGGGAGTAGGATTTTGAGCTTTGGCTGCTGTTGGAGCTTGGCGTCACCATCGGTAGGGACAAGCTGGGAGAGCTGCTGACGGAACCTGTGTCAGTGGCTGATCAATTACCAATGACGTTCGAGTATGGGGGGGTTTGGCCGGGGGGCTTGGGGCTTGGGACTTGGGGGATCATGGAGCGTTGAGTTACGTGATCAGAGCTTGCAAAGTGAATGGAAGTGAGGTGAGGTGAGGTGCAGAGACCCCGTCCACTACAGGGACGGGGCATTCAGCGCCGAATGGGCCCGAATTTCAGTGGATATCTAATACCACGAGCCTCACTCCAGGTATTTTGTTCTCCTGATTGAGGCGGGCTCCCCATGGTTCTGAAGCAGCCAGCCCAATTGAAGTGCCGCCGGGCGGCCGTGGAGAGGCCGTCCGAGTGGAGAGATGGTGGAGGTGTGGTCGGTGGTGTTCGGGGTGCGGGGGAGAAAGCTGATAGAGGCTCCGCTAATACGCCGAACATCGCCGTGTCTTGTTTTCATGGAACGGCCTAGTTTTTCGCGGTACTGCAATACGTGGTTTCTGAATAGAGATTTTTCGATTTGAGGTCCTAGGTCCGCGTGCATACCCACTGGGATGCCGTCATAAGCCAACTTTGGCCCCAGAAATCTTGCGACCAGGACGTCTCGGTACGTAAAATGATGCTATCGTCAAATCTCCCAATATGCATCCTCACTAGTGAGATTTCGGTCAGGTCATGCAACGTCTCGCTCAACCCAACCCAGATTTACGGTACGGGCGGGTGAACTATGGGCTCCAGAACCAAAGACGGGGGAACCACGGGGAAACAAAAGAAGGGTGTGGGTGAAAGGCGGGATGACGGGGAATGGCATGGAGAGAGATGGATGATATGAAGACCCATTGAAGGCCAAGCACAGCGAAGACAAAACATACGGCAATAGAAATAGCAACTCACCACTAGAATCAGCATGATTGCAATGAAAGAGACAATAAACCGAGGCCAAGGACGTTTCCTAGCCTTCGATTCAAGTCCACGCCCATGTCCTTGCACATGCTGTGCCCCCATTGTCCTGATAATCAAGACTGCTGCCAAGCCAGAGTCTTGGGTTTGTAGTGAGTGTCAAGATGGAGTGTTCCTGATCTGTTATGGTCTTGTGCTTGTCTGAGACCTGCCTGTCTGTGGAAATTTCAAGCCTGATGACTGTCTCCTGGTCGGAAGCACCGACAATAAGGTCACTATGACTCTCCGCAAACAATTAACAAGGCTCTAAATCGCTTTTGGTCGAAGGCCGCTGTATCAGGAGCCTGGTAAACGGGCCGTCTCGTCCGTATTGTGACAAGAAAAGCGCACCAGACCGGAAAGGAATACCGTCAATTGTGCGTTTTCAGACTGTTCCGAGGTATCATTCGAAATTCACTGGACGAACTTCGGCGGTTGATCTAGCAAGTCGCGTGTTTCTTACTGAGTATGATTGGTGTAACGTAACTGGTGTGATTCCAGTGCAGGTGCAGCGGTTCGTAGCTTGAGCCTCAAGGACCTAGGAGAAACGACTCGAGTGGTAGTCTATGATCTGCCTCCCTCTATTCGTGCCCGTGATTTATCTTGGAAATGCCGCAGTCATTCGAGAAATATTCAGTCTGGGTCCTTTCGTTACGTGGGTGAGTGTCGCAAATTGATTTTGGGTCGAACAGAATGGCGGGGTACAAGATACGTCGATTTTAGACCTCGCCAGTGTGCGGCTTTTTTTCTTCTTCTTTTTTTTCTTTCTTTTACCAGTCAACTGGATAACCAAATAGCCTACCTACCTAAGTAGGTGGTCATTGTACGCTTCTTTCCTTGTTTTGGGGACGATACCCTTGGTTGCTGAGGTATAGCAGTGGGAAGGAAATTCACTCTCAAATGCAGAGTGGAAAATTTTAGGAAGGTGCCAACAATACCACCGACGTAAATATCCATCCTGCCATTGCAGGTCCATTCAACTAACCCCTTGCCCCATTCCACGACACCGCTCTACATTCACCTGCTTGAAGCCAGATTAGGCCCAAATACCTCTGGCTTTGAAGTTCAAGCCTCTTATGAATTCAGACGTTTGTACAGCACATGGCATTTGGGGGCATCGAGGGACCTCCATCGATCTGATACGCTTGGCTTATATGGTTCAGGCTTCCAATTTGTTGCATCTCTCCTGTGACTTTGTGGCTTTTGTAAAGATTCGGTCAAGGCTAGTGGCATCTTACCGCATCATATAGATCGCAGTTAAAGCCCAACTAATATCGCTGCCATCGCAACATATTGGTATGTTATCTTAGTTCACTCGTGCCATGACCCCATACCATCTCGACAGACAGCTTAGTCCATGACCGATTGTATCGAGACCGGTCCCATTCAAACTCTTGCATCACCGCCCCCGCGATCTCCTTATCTATCGCTTGGCTTACCCGAGTTCGGGGTCCCCAGCCGTTGACAAGGTCTAGGGATCCCTCACCGAGGCCGGCTGTCGCCTCACGTCACTTCGGTCTGGAGCTAATCAGAGATGCAGACGACTTACAAGAAGCATGTCGATAGAATTATGCCCAAGACTGAAGCTTGGAGAATTCTACAGATACAGATAGTCAGGTAGTCTTTGGTTGGCCTCCTGGTGTCGAAGAATTGGCCCCTGGAGGCATAAGAGACGAAATAATCTGGTCACTTTATGCTAGCTTAGACTAGCAGTTAGGCTACTTTATTATGGAAGCCTAAGCCTTAGAGGACAATTCTTCTGTTACCCACCTGGTTGGGTATAAATCCACCCATTTTGGTTCCTGAACCCCGAAACAAGACATCAAAACTTTCCTATTTTATAGCTTCACTATTGTTCAGGAAGTCCGTGGGGGAGATACGACTTTTTGACGTGTCAGCTTGATAGCGTAACAATGACCATGCCAACATCTCTAGAGTCTAATGTAGTTGGGTCGGACAAGGGCAATCACCTGGAAACGTGGAGAGGTAAAGTTTCAAATGGTATTGCACCACCTTCTTTAATTCAATAACTAATAAACAAACCATTGTACACGGCTTCCTCAAAACGCTGCCATAAACCTAGCCTGTTCTTGTCTCGTCTTTCCATGGCTTACTCGTCTGCCTGCCTCCTGTAAATATCGACCTGGACGCCTGATAAACACGCATAATAGGGGCTTGAGACGACCGCACAAAGGTATTAAGATAGATGACGCAGCAGGCTCTTTAATTTCTTTCCCGCCAGGCCGCCTTGGTATAAAAATGGTGGCCAGCACACCTTCCCAGAGTGGTGAATTTTGTTCGATATCCTTTTCGTCGTTGATGTCGTGTGAGATTAGAGTCTAGATGGAAAAGCCCGTTGGTGTGTCCTTCAACAGACTTGTACAGAACGTGAAATCGTAAAGCGAAACGTTCCTTACATGATAATAGCAGGGATGTCGACGTTAGCCTTGATAGACTTGTGGGGAAGGACACTACCACCGTTGACGTAGATCTCGTCGCCGACGGTAACGTCGTCGCCAAGAACTGTCACGTTCTCGAGACGGGCCCATCGACCAATGGTGCTGTTCCAGCCAACGATGGTAGACTTGACCCAAGCGTGGTCCTTGACCTTTGAGCCCTTGAGGAGGACGCATCGCTGCAGACGGACACCATCACCAATAACAACATTTGGGCCAATTGTGACATTAGGTCCGATTCTGCAGTTCTTGCCAATTTTAGCTGAAGGGTCGATCAGGACGTTTCCGCCGTGAACGTAAGGCTCGCTGGCAGGTGTGAGCTCCTTGCTGCCCTTCTTTGTGAGGGAAGAGAGATACAAGCAGGTGCCGCTGAGGAAGTCCTTGGGCTGTCCAACGTCCATCCAGAAGCCCTCAAGATCGAAAGAGTGGAGCTGGTTGTCCTTGACCATGGCGGGGAAGGTCTCCTTCTCGATCGAAGTCGGGCGAAGCTCAATACGGTCGAGGATGGAGGTGTTGAAGATGTAGAGACCGGCATTGATACGGTTGCCAACGAACTCGACGGGCTTCTCGACGAATCGGTCAATCAGAGAGCGGTGTCCGGGCTGGTGGACAACAACACCATACTTGGAAGGCTCCTCGACCTTGGTAACAACGATGGTACCCTCGTTACCGTGGTTCTTGTGGAAGGCCAGAAGATCCTCGAAAGGGAAGTCGCAGATAACATCGGAGTTGAGGACAAAGAAGGGGGAGTCGTCCTTGGCGAGAATTCGCTCCGCAAGCTTCAGGGGTCCAGCAGTGTCAAGGGGTTCAGTCTCGACGGAGAACTCGATGTTGATGTTGAACTTCTCCTCGTACTGTAACAGGGGTCAGAATACGGGCTGGCAAGAGTGCAGTGACAGTTCTTACCTCGGCGAGGAACTTCTCCATGACCTCAGGTCTGTAGTTGACAGCAAGGACGATATCAGTTACACCAGCTGCGACCAGCGCCTCAATCTGGTGCACAATCATGGGTTTGTTGGCAAACTCGACCAGGGGCTTAGGAACACTCAGGGTCTGTGAAGCGGCGCATAATGTTAGTCACTTGAAAAGTCGAAAGTATTGGAGGTGCGCGCGGTCGAGTCGCGAGCTTTCGTGGGGTAACGTACGAGAGGGCGAAGGCGGGTGCCATAGCCACCGACAAGAATGAGACCTGGAGATTGTTAGCTGAGGAATCTGATAAGACAGTTTGGCAGGACAAACCCTTCATGATTGCGGTATTGGGAAGCTAAGCTGAATATGCTGAGAGCAAAGAGTTAAGGGTAGCAGAACAGCGAATGTAAGAACAGCGAGGGACAGCAGCGAGGTCCTGAAAAGAAGGAAGAAACCTCGACAGGATTAGATTAGAATAGGTAGGTTAAAGGTAAGAGGGTATTGGGTATCTCGAAAGATGTGAAGATGGAATGGAGGAGAGTCAAGGGAGAAGAGGAGAGGAAGAAGAAGAAGAAAGTAGGCCGACTTTGAACTCAGGAGATGGAGAGCAATCCAAGGCAAGTGGGGATGTCTAAAAAGGCCAACGTGGGTAGATTCACTGCCTCGTAGTATGTGGCAGCCATAGAAACAGGTTGCTTCCACCTGGAGCTTGAGAATGAGATGGGATGGGATGCGAAAGTGGGGAACGGGATCCAGGGGGTAGCGCCATTGCCAGTGCCAGTGCCAGTGCCAGTGCCAGTGCCAGTGCCAGTGCTAATGCTAATGCCAGCCCAGTAGTCGGGCTACCACCAGTAACAGGGTCCTTTTTTAGGTCCAGGCTTAATCACGATGAAGATCTCTTTGTAAAGTTGGTGTTGTTTCGAGGCATTTCTAAACCTAACTCGGGAGTAAATAGTCTTTTTTACTGAAATTTTGTTTCAGCTAATTGATGGACAATAAAGGTTGACAACACCACAGCTTGGACAAACCCTACTGAGATACCTACTATCCGTACCAAAAGATTCATACCGTTGAATAACTGTAGGTATATGGATTGGATGTAATGTTCAGTCATCCAATAGTCTAGGAGTATCCGTACTAAGTTAATTATTTCGGTCCACACAAGCCAACGATCCACGACACGAGGTCCTCGAAGAGAAAGGGGGCTTTTCACTCCAATCAAACAAAGTCTAGCGGGGTCCAATGTGGCTCGACCATTTCCCGTTCCCTGGCGAAATTATATTAAGCCCCCTGTTGGAATAGGCTGTTTCCGTCTTGGTTTTGCTGATGGATACGGATGCTGGGTATTCTAGAATTAATCAATCAATATCCGACAAGGTTTCAGCTGAGGTTGAAAACAATTATCATCTGGTTTAGGAAGCTCTTGGAGTCTTAAAAGAAAAAAATTAAATAGCATGCGCCACTCTCAGAGCTCAAAGTAAAGTATCTGAACAGCCCAGGTAGGTACCTATCTTGTCTTCTAGACTCGCGGTCAATCTTTCAGATACCATGACGAGTATCTGTATATCGCCTCCTTTCTTCACTCTAACCGTTGATCAATTCGTTGAAAGAAATAAAGAGGTCTGAGCTAGCTAGCAGTGGCACCATTTCCTTCAAGTGTACGGATACGGAGTACTGTACTAGACTACTAGGTAAGCATTAAGGAGGTGGTCATGCAAAGTTAACCACTCAGAGGCTAACGTTCATTTATACAACCCCTGTCAAGGACCCTGCAATTCATTTACGAGAGTCCTTCGTGTTGGTACCGGACATTTCTATATTGGCTCTTCAACGACATGGCATTGATGTTCCAAGTATAGACTAACATCCTCATGACTCTGTCCCAACCTTCCTTGCCTTTAACTTGAGCCATCTTTTCGTATTCTGTACTGTAAATATGTACAGATAGTTCAGTGTCGTGAACCTTGAAACCGTTCCACAAGTAGCCCCATATGACTTCATAATCGAGGCGTTCCATCTCAGCCTCTCCCGTGTCCCCATCTGACACGTCTACAAACTTATTAGTCTACCTAGTGTGGGAGACCCTCTCGTCTCCTTACATCTGATTGACAGCTGGAGGTCGACGATCACCACCCCGTGACCCCAACACGTATCCGTAGCTAACTAACTTCAATCCCCAAACTGTGTCAACTTCCCCTCTTCCCTCTACCTTGAATTAATTATTGCGGTTCAAAATATGACGAATGGGATCATAATTGGAAGATATAGTCAACCTAAAATCTGCTACCTTGGCCCCAAGCTACAGTCATCGCCCTGTTAGCCTCTTGTTTCACGGCTACCTATGCTACGCTCTCCTTCAACGTCATCGCACATTTGATATGGGTGAAACTTGGATGCTAAAGCTGAACTGGCTCGGCAATCAATCGTCAAAGCTTAAATGTACGACGTTAGAGTTTGGTGTTGGGTAGTTTTGTGTCCATTACTTCAACAGCTGACAGTTGCCGGTGTCACCGCAAGGCAGTTCAATTTTCCAATCCGAACGGCTGCTTGTAGCTCTTCATAGGCTTCCTGACATAAGGCAATTAGTCTCCACTACAGATGACTTTGATCGAATTGTGTAATGTCTCTGACCTCGTTCAGTCGTCCGACATCTTTTGTATGTTTCTCGCTCCCGTCCTACAGGCTATCAAGGCCTGGCCTTTAAGCAGAGTTAAACCTTGTCTAAGGCTTTTTTCGACATAAAATCAATTACTGCTTTTTACTGTGATGCCTCAACGACATCGGGCACTGTTAAGGATCTCCTGAGTGGCTTGTATCGCCTGTGCCTGGTTTGTGAGTAAGTCGACAGTGAACTTTTTCCAGTGTTGCCCCGAAGCGCACGGCGTACTCGTAACAGAGAAAGAAGCTGTAAGGCTATATATCTGCTGTTGAATGATGACCAAAGGGAGTTCAAGAGTCCTTTCATGGCTTACAAAGTCTCGGTAAGAAACTTCACCACGACAGGATGCGTCGCTCAACAAGGCATGAAGATGCAACTCGAAGTCCCATTTGTCACCCCGAAGAAACACCATTCACATGATATGACCTGTTCAAAGGCATTGTCCGCAATCTAGCAAGTCCTTGCAGGCTGGTAACGAATGTTGACAAGTCTGTCTTCCCAGATACCACAGAGTCGGTGATTTTAGCCCGTCCTCAAAGTGAATCATTGCGGGGTTAAAAACATGTGGCAGGATAGTATTGTTATTACTGGCAAGTTTTAACACATAAAAAAGGGATTTGTGTGGTACACCTTATGTAGTAAATGAGTTGTTCAGTACTTACGATAGAATGGGAGTATAGATGCATTGTTGAGAGGCGGGGGTCTTGTCGACATTTGCAAGAATGCTTCTATATGACCAGGATGAAAATAACATCGTCAACATGAGCTTGCTTCAAACGTATGGAATTTGAGACGCTTTACTTTGGTCTGAAGGCTACCCTCAGATGCACTACTGTCCTCGACGAAGATAATGACAAGCACCAGGAGGGTGTTGTATTCAAGCGTATGGCTAGATGCCCGCGATGTGAGTGAGAAACCCGGTCACAGTAGTACAAAAAGGAAGCATCAAGGATGGAGTGTCACAAGGCCTCTGGTTGTGCGCATGCAGCCGACATCCCTTTGTTTCGTCAGGCACCAAGCAAACCAACATGTTAGAGCTCCAGATGAGAGAAACTCAAATGAACAAAACAATGAGACTGTCAACAGATTCCACGTTGCAACACGTAGCAAAGCCAAGAAGCCAGAGCATAAGAGAAAACAGATCAAATGTAACAGGAACTTGTGGTTGGAGAAACGTTGTGTACCTAATAAGTACAACCCTCTTGAGAGGTAGCTCAAGTCTCACATCATATACCACAGATGCATCAAGATCAGGGAACACATGGTGTTACCTGCACAATTATCGGCAGTGAAACAGAAAAAGTCGTGATCATTATCGTCGTTAAAGTGCCTTGTCATCATATCCCTCCACAGGCCATGCTAATCCTCATCAATCGTTGCGTTCTCATGATCCTTCTCATCTTTCCTCATGTTGTAAAAAGTCAACGCTAGCTCCTACCATGCTCGTACTTTTTCTTCCATCAAAACAAAATTCCAATTTCTCATCAGAATCCATTATAGAAATGTGCTTAAGAAAATCCAACCTTCGCTAATAGTGCCCCATGCCAAAAGAACCCCTCAGGAAATGTGCTTTTTCTCTTTTCGTCGTGGTTCATCAAACTGTCGTTCAACGCGTGTCAGATCCGCCTTTGCGTGACTTTTGAAAAACAAATGCTCTTTTTTTTGAGTGATACTGTCATCCGATCCAGAATTTGTTCATGTCCAGGTATTCGTGCCCGTTTCGATCTTCTCCGTCCGCTCTTGCGACTATTATTTCTCGGATTCGGGCCCAGCTGGAATGACTTCCGATGTCACTGGGGGCCTTTTTTGTAGTATATCATCCTTTCAGATCGATTTAACAGTCAATTCATTCAGGGTTTGATGAATATTCTGCCAAGTACCAGAACGACGAAAAGGGTGTTCGTCATGAGCAAGCCAGGTCGAGTCTCCCTGGTAAAAGTCGATCCAGGTTTTTAGTTCTTGTTGCGAGAAATAACAAATCGCCGGTTTGGACGAAGGCGTCAAAGGAAATGCTGGCTGCAGACATTTAAGATCGCATCTAAAGTCGTGTCGTGTCGTCATGAATCGTCGAAGATAGTGAGGATATATCAGGTTACATATCCTCGTTGACCCAGTTCAAAGCGAACAATGGGTGTCGAACAGAAAAGCAAATTGATGCAACAAATTCGAGCAACATGAAAGAAAACAAAGAAATAACTGATGATCCTTCCCCAAGTCTCGCGAGAGAGATTACCAAAGGAGGTTGGCTTGGGTATATCCCTTGGGATTGCTGTGAAGCATTTCAACCGCTTATAAGTCGTCTTGTGTGGTTTCCCTCTAATGCTTTGTCGATATGCTTCCGAGTAAAGCTAATCTGAGCCAAAACGCATACTGTCAAGTATCCCGAATATCTATTGACAGCTGCGTGGCGTCGAAACGCCCTCTAATCGAATGAGGCAGTCGAGCTACTACTAGAGTGGTGTCCTGATCGCCTGCTGTGGCGATCGCTGTCTCGTGAGGATGTGTGACGGCTCTTGCGGCGGCGTGATGTTTCCTGGGCTGGGAGGCCTTGGACGATACCATTGCGAGCCAACATACCCCCGTTGACAGAGAAGTTGCGGCAGACCATGAAGGCACGCATGGCAGCGTTCTCTTGGGCAAGGACGTCAGATTCGTATGCAAGATCTGTCTGGTATTCGCGACCATTGACAAGAACCAGGCAAGTGTAACCGTTGTGATCCCGGTAGCATTCGTACATGGGGTCTGTCCATCCTCGACGCCGGCAGAGGCCTGTGCACAGTTCTGTTAGCAAAAAGTCCTTGTCTCAACAACCGGTGTAAGTTGGTGGCGTGAGAAACCCCCGCGGTCCATCCAGACTCAAGGATAAGCCAGATCCATGGAACATCGAGAAAGGACTGCTGGATAGTCACCACCTATATTTCGATGAGGTTTCACAGTCTTCCCTCGATCGTTCCATGCAATTCAACCCAGGTTGCACAAAAGCAAGAACAGTGGTTGCTCATTACTTCATGCGGAGAACCTGGGTTTACCCTGTACACTTTTTTTCTCTCGTCCGTCACATAATGTTTCTTAGAGCAATTGCCGATGGCGTGGGTGGAATTGGCTTGCAAAAATATAACGGATCAAATCATTATTGACTTACTCTCGAGGTACTGCATATAGAATCCGCCCATTGTGATGTTGATGCTGGTGGCGGTCACTTGATGGGCAGAAGTGATAAGTTGGAGGTCGGTTGAGATGCAGTTGTGGTTGCGCTTGAGTAAACAAAAAGATGGAAATCGAAGTTTATAAAAGCTTCTCTGGGGCGGCAAAGACGGTGGAGAGTATCAAGGACCCGAGAGGGGAAGTTGATATAAAGAAGGAATATCAATGGAGGAAACGCGACCAAAATAAACGCTTGTCTAGATCCAAAGGAGAAGACTGATGCCGAAAGACAGGGTTTAGCTCCGAAGACGAACTCTAGGATCGAGCGTTGCAGCGGGTAGAGGATGTGGAGGCAGAGAGATGTCAGGAACCGAATCGAAACTGAAACAAGCCTTGCAAGTCTTGGAGGGGTCCTGTCAAGTTTGTTCGGCTCGTGTTGTATCTGAAGCTGAAGAGAACCCAGGCGGCTGACGTACAAGATGAATTGCAAGAGTTGAGATGGGACGAAGGAGCAAGGTGGTTATGAAGCAGGATCCGATACACTTGAGAACGAGCACCGGAAGAAAAGGAAGAATAACCTTAGCTTTGTCGAAATATCCGTCTTGAGTAATACTAGGTACTGACAGCATGTACTTCCATCTGCTGCAGACGAGTTGAGCCGATAGCACGGCGAGACGTGTGTGCCTTTATTCCAGACAACCTATTAGCGCGGGACCGGGGGTGTCTGGAGACAAAGGAAGACGCGCGAATGGGGGCAGATGCAAGCAACGATGCGGCTCTCAAAAGAGTGTGACCCATCTTGCTGTGCTGGCCTACCTGGTTGCCAGTTGATCAAAACCGCTGGCGACTAGGCCACTCCACCGCGACACATGGAGGATGCAGCAAGCAGGCGATCTCTCTGATAAGTCTCAAAGTTAACGCCTTCGGCCACTGGCGTACCACCAAAGAACCTAGTAGGTTCCCATTTTTACTCTCAGTCATTGCTTTGCAGCTGGATCCTCTGCAGCGGGTTGTGTTCTTTTCTCTCTCTCTTTCTTTTTGTTTTGTTTTGTTTTGTTTTAATTCGATCATAATTGTCCCTCCTCTTCTCGCTAACAACGTTTTTGTTTGGCGGTCTCGGCTATGGCCTCTAGTTCAAACTTTGTATTGTTGAACGTGTTCGTTTGCCCACTTCCCCTCATAATGGCATCTCGAGGCCGATGGTATAGTACATGGTATGGCCAGGGTCTTTGTATTGTATCCGGCTGAGTACATAAAGACATGATGGCATGGTCTGGAATGGGGGGCGACGGGGCCAGTGAGGGCCCCGTTTCTGAAGCTCATGCAGACACGCGATTGAAGATGCATTGCTACATGGCAACAATTTCAACTTGCTTTAGCTTCAACTCAAGTGGCGAAGAGGAGATCACCGCAGTGGTCCAAGGCGGGTAATCCGTTTCTCGCTGTCAGGCCGGACGTCTGAAAAGACCGAAAGGTAGACGAGGGGCAAAATAGTCTGCAGCCGTAAAAGCAGCTTTTAATAACGTTAACGTCCGAGTATTGGATATTGGATCCAAGACAACCTATGCGTCCTGGCTCAACACCATATCTTGACGTCTGAGATCTCTGCTTTGGCGGCCACTAATGCACAGCGGCCAGACCTCCAAAGTACTACATCCGTACCGTGTTGTATTTGTGCAGTACTGCCCTGCCCTGCCCTGAGGCTGGACGATGAGGTGCAGCGAGGGGCAGCCCACTCTGAACCCCTCCTCTCCAGCGCCGAGAGCCCCGGTGGCCGGAGATGCTGCAGGACCATCGAAGTTGTCCATCGTTACCGCAACTAATTGGAAGCGAAAATTCTCAGGGTCGAGATTGACATATGCCAGGTTTGTGTTTTGATCCTCACCAGTCGCGCGCGAAATGGACGGCCGTTTTGAGCGGCCTAGCCTGAAGACTAGAGTGTCGTACTGGGGCCGAGTGACAACGACTCATTGAAAGCGGGCCACGTTCTCAACTTCATGTGGCGGTTACTACCTTGGGCTAATTCGTACGTAGAACAACAAGATCGTGAAGCGCGCATGTTTTTAAAGCGAGTATATCAAACTTCGAAGAGACCTTATGTGACCAAAACGGGCGGCTGGCACTGCTGTCACAAGAATTGGTAAGAACCATACTCGGAGTAGCATCACGAGTATGATAGGTGGCAGGGTGAATCTTTGAGACCGATGCTATCGAACTCTTAGATACGATATCAGCTACAGTGCCTCACTATCGACTGGTCGAAGATGGTCAACAACCAACTTTTGCAAGGCCATGTGTCCTGAGAGATGAGTATGGCCCAACGCTGATGGCACCCGAGCTTCCTGACAAAGACTGTCTGTCCACATTGATGGATCTTACATACCACTCCCCCAAGACCCAGAGAAAGGGTCGGTGAAGCAGCGCGACGACATGCAGTGCATGAACAGTATAGTCAGTGGCTGGGCTTCTCAGCAATACAAAGCAGAGTCCGGTATTGCTCATCGATCCCTGCCCACCATACCCTGTGCCATGCATCCACAGGCGTGGGTGTGGGCGCCGTTAGGGCTGTCTCCAGCACGCAGCAAAAGCAAAGAAGTCTCTAATCCATAACTCGAATGATGAGAACGGTGAAAGTGGCACAGTTGATTGGAAGATGCACATCAACTTTTGCTTGAATGTCTCAGCAATAAAGACGGGGCTAGGACTTTTGCATCCATTGAAATGGTGTGCACAGCGGGTGTTTGGTGGTTCGAGAATGCAGGATACCTTATGGCATTCGAGAAATTGGATGACAAGAGGAGTCTCGTCTCTCTGGTGTTGGTGTTTAGGTTAGGTAGTAGGTACAGGTACCTATTGACCTCCACTACCTAGGTACTGGAAGCCAGCCTGGAGCTTCGATAGGCCCGTACACTCAAGGTACCTTCCGAGATACGGGCTAGAGAGGCCTAAGTCGAAAAGGGGAAGGTACCCTGACGTCCGAACGCTGTCCTTGCCTAATCGAAAGTAAGCTACCTGCCTACCTAGATCAGAGGAAGCAGCTACCTCTACTCTATACACCAGGAGGGGTATGTTATGGAAATGGATGGTAGGAAGAACCCCAATAGAAAGAAGCTCGAGGTAACGACTAGGGCAAGGTAAGGTGCAGCAGGCATAGGTAGCTTTCGGGTCAGCCCCTACAGTACTAACCTCATGCAAAGATGTGTTGGCAATGCTTTGAATCAAATAAAAAACAACATCAACAATAATAACATTGCAGGAACTTTACAATGGCGAGACACAACTACCGACAAGCTTGTCAACAGCAAGTACCTCTAATACCTCATTGAGCGTCTCACCTCACCTCACATCACATCACCTAATTATGCGTAAGGTGAGGTGGCCGCTTTATGCTCCCTCCATGTCGATTTGACAAACTTCATTCCATCCGCAACAGCCATTGATTGACATGACGGCAAGTCATCTCACAATGCATGCGGAATTTAATTTACAGCATCGTGATTACCGAGGTCCAGCGCACATGCTCACCGTGGATGTTTGACCCGGTCCTTTAGGTTTGTTCTTTGACTACCTAGCTACTAGCTAAGTCCAAGCCAAGCTAACGAAGCTCAAAGAGAAGAGCCCCGTCTCGAGAACAAAAGATTTGCCAAGCATCTGCAGGACTGATATCAAACTGCGAGTCGCGACAGGGGTGTTGTTGAATTCAATTGAAAGATTATGGCCTTTTGTGGGCTTTGTGGAGGAACCAGGGTACCCCCCCTTGCCCTCCAACATGAGCCATGACCATGACGGAGCTCGAGCTTTTAACGTCGAACAACGATTCGACAATTCGAACTCTTCCAGAATTCTGTCTAGGATGCCGCTAGTTGGCTCTGACGTGCCAATTCTAGACAGCCCCATGCCATGACAAACATCGAATTGGAAAATAACCGTTGGAGATTCTTCTTCCTTTGCGAGTTCGGCCGGCCCCAAATTTGTGGCATCCATACCTACCTACCGATTTGGGGCCGCGAGTGTTAAAAACAAGAGCACCTTATCGTTTAATTAGGCGCCTTATCAATCTGGGCGTATCGCCTGCTGTGATGCATGCGGAAGCAGATCAATGTGCCAAAGACACAGCGGTTAAACAGCCAAGGCAACCAGCAACAACAGCAGGACATGACCGGCTCTAAAAAGAAACAAGAAGAAAATACATCAAGGCAAATAGTCTGTGGGCATGTTGCTGCGGTTGGTACCTACGAATAGACTTATGAAACTCCACAAAAAAGAAGAAGAAGAAAAAAAGAAAACATTGAAGGAAGTTGGCCCCAAGACCTAGACTATAGATGCACCTAACAAGTTCCACCTACCTAGGTACCTAGGTGGCCAAGGCTGCCTTTCTTCTTTTGTCACCCCTTCTAAGAATGAATATGGACCCGGAGCGGGGCGATGGCCACAGTGGTGAAGTGCCGGCGATGATGGACTATGACGATGAGAGTGAGAGAGTGAGTCCGCTACTGTACCAACCTTGCATATCTTGCTCGAACTACATACCGCATACATTGTTGAGCAAAAATAAAGTTACATGGTACTGTAGTTGGGAGACTTGTCCCGTGGCAGATTGAGTTCACTCCAGAACTACGACTCTTGTTATCTTCTCGTTGCGGTTTCCGGCGGCTAGACCAAGCGCTTCGTGTTCAGGATGTAGGTCGGCTAGAGAACGTGCAAAAGGATCCATCATGTTGGTATGTATTGATATCGCGGTCTGCGGGAAGCCCCGTCCAACGGGGATCAAGGAAGCAAGACTGGACCTTGGAGGGCAGCAAGACCATGTATCTTTATCTTTACATGATCCAGGTTTCTTGGCCACATTGTCACTTTTTGGGGCCAATATACTTACTTATTACTTCTTAAAGATGACTACTTAGGTGGCTATAAACAGCGTTACTGAACAGCAAAAATATCAACAAGATATAATAGGGTCGAACTCGCTTATACCCTGTCGGTCGATCCAAGTGCTTGGGCCCCTTCATCGATTCATCGAATTCCGCCCTGGCCAAAATTATGGCACAAATCACTGCACCAGAATGGAGTATGCACCTGTGCCTGTAGTGCAATCCATGGTAAAATACGTGGAACTAGCTTGCCGAATGTGTGCCGGGCCAGGTCAAAACAAACTACTTGCGGTCAACAGCACGCACGTTATGTTACAACTGAGACATGATCGTGGGGTTGTCTTACATGCCTGTGGTGCCTGCTCTCGACCGTTGAAGGACCCTATTTTCTCGTCTCCACGCTGTTCATGGTGATTGGACAACTCAAGGGGGTCAATAAAGTTATGTTTATCGCGCTTCAAGGTACGGATAGTTCGATTGTTAATGCGAGGTTTGTTGGCTATGGTATGTCGTAAGAGAACATCGAATTCTTGCAAGGGCAACAGGCTTGTAAGAGACTTGTATTCCGAAAACCTAATCCATTTAGATGATTAAGTGCCCCCAAGTGTCCGCGTGCTTGAACTACTGTCATAGATGTGTATATGTCATCAATTCGATAACGGGACTATCTCTTGAACGAGGAACGAATTGTAACAAAGATACAGCATTGCATAATAAGTTTTCGATGCTTAGAAGTGACGGTTATCTTCCCTGTTACCGAAACAGTTCCCGGATCTCGCTGTTGCGAACTCATCGAAGTAAGATACATGTTTGCTGCGCTATTACTCTGTCATGCTTGTTATTGACGGTATGGTATGGCACATTCGAGATCATTGTGACTTGTGAGTTGAATCCGCTTGTGTTTTGATTTATTCATTCATGCATGCATGCACTGCGGTGGATGTTCATGGATGTTCATGAATGTTTGTTTGTGCGGTATCTCAAGAATGTAGAGTAAGTAGCACAGTTTGTCATACCTTGACGGCGCAGGTGCCATGTCGTGCTTTGGCCACTCGAGTTTGATATGTCGAGTATAGATCATCTTTAACAAGGCAGATCTTCGTGCACTGCAAGCAAATGTATTTAGAACTTGACGCATACGCCCTGGTTATATATGGTAACATTCTCACTTACAGAATCATCCAGTGACTGGTAGACTCTGACAGCTTGGAGGCCGTCATCTCTCGTGTCTCATATCTTTCCCCAAGCCTGTCCACCTGGCGCTACACAAATGCTAATTTATCTAAAAACCATGCTTGTTTGAAAAGTAATTCTGCATGTCCTCCACTTTGTGCTGTGGAATAACATAAACTGGGTGCACAGTGGCAACGCGATCCTCTTCGTCAAAGATCTGCTCCCCCTCCATATAAGGTGTTACAGACCAGGAATCGCCCTTGACATCCGCCTCGTGAGGACGAGCAGCACTCAATGTCCACCTGTGCTGCGCTGAGCTCAAGCCAGAAAGTACGTAGCACGTGTGGTATGCGTCCGAGTACCTGATTGTTTGTTGAACTGGAGTTAGCGCTCATTGAAATTCTTGAATGCAGGGCTACGGAGTGGCATACTTGCTTGGTTTGTCTCTCAGACCACCCCGCTTAGACTGATCTTGACAACAACAAAGAATGTACCGGATCAGACCGTCGCGACTGAAGAGGCTATCCTGGGCCGCAGGTAGTGGGCGGTCACCTAAGTTGGCCTCTTGCCCTTCATGTCCCGACCCGGGTCCGTTGAGCGCGGCCTCGATGAGGGGCCAGCATCCTCCGACCCAGTGACTGTAACAACCGTCGACTAGCTTGTTTGTGCGACCCGAGAAACCACCCTCAGGGGCGTACTGACGAGAAGATAGCCAAGAGATGAGCAGTGGTACATTGAGATGCCTAAGAGCCCGGATGATCAGGGCTAGGTTAGCATGCACCGCTTTCATGTCAAAATCTGAGTGGACAAAGAAAGGGAGAAAGACATACCGCGGGATGGCTCGATGTGGAGAATCAAGAATTGAAAGGCACCCAAGAGCGCAAAAGGCATATGCACCGTGTGCTTCGATGCCCGGCTTTGCCGACACGCCGCCCTCGTGCGTTTGGCCTGTTCAAGATGGACGATCAGAGAGGGAACCACAAGCGTGCAGGGCTTCATGCGTCAGCATCACTTACATCTGTGTACATAGTCGGCAAGTCCTGCAAACAGACCAGTGTGGCCAGCAGATCGTGCGGGAGAATCCTGTGATAGCTCAAGAGGGAGATTGAGCAGAGAGATAATGACGGCCGCACAGTAGGCACCCCTGCAATTCTGTCAGTATGCGGGTTGATACGAAGCATCGGATCGTGGATTTGTTTCTTGATGGTTCACGACATGATAGCAATCGGGTTACGGGCCTCGATCGCCAACATGACATTGCAGAAGAGAATGCATGGTGCAGTGGTACAGTATGCACATACCTGACGTCCTCCTCGCCGCCCAGGGCCATCTGGAACCCTCCATCAGGCTGCTTGAGCGAGCATAGCCATCTCCACATGGCTCGCCGGTCAATACATTCGTAGGCGTCTTCACCGCCGACCAGAGCCAGAGACAGGACGGTTGCATAGGAGGTGGCGAGATGCGAGGTATGTCCGAAGCCGCCAGCGAAGCCTCCATCTGGGTTCTGCATAGGTAGAACAGTATCAACAAGTCTCTCCCGGTACGCCTCGACGTCCTCTCCTAGAAGAACTAGAGCAGAGAGACACCAATAGAAGAACCAGGGTCGGCTGGGGTCAGCGGATGTGAAGGCGGCAGGTAATTTACCCAGCTGCTTATGCAAGAAGTTGACATGGCGACGGCGGTCCAGGTGAGGCAGACCGTGGGAGTTGCATTGCTCGTACTCTTCGCCCTTGAGGTAGGGTAGCACTTCGTCTATGGTGTTGTCCTGTAAACGAGACGACTCTGTGGGTAGGCTATCGCGGATAGGAGGATCAGTGGTGAAGAGTTGAGGAATAGAGGGTTCCAGTTGCACCCCTGGCTGTGGCGCTGTTTCTACTGAAGCCATCCTGGTGTTTGGTTTCGGGTTAGGTTTGGTGTTGCTTTTGATAGTAGTAGTGTTGCTGTTGCTGTGTGGGAACAAAATGCGAGGACGAGGACGAGTAAGACGAGAACGAGCTCTCATCACGCAGCGGGTTATTTGGGGAAACCCGTTTTCTTTTTATCGTCGTTGTATGGGCAGCATCGACTTGACAACAATGAATCTTTTGGTTGATATTGTTCTTCAAGCCATGGCATATCGAATGCCATCCTCACCCCCACTATTGCCAGGATATGATATGCACGTGGCGGGGTAATTCTCTTTGTCGGTTACTTTAGCACCAACGGCATCAATATTCTATGAGCTTGTTTGCTTCGTTTTCGTTTTTGCTAGTACTTTTGGTAGTACTTGTATTGTTTGACGCTTTGATCTAGTAATGATCTTTTATGAAATCATTAAACTCAGAGAACAGCCATGAGACCCAGTACTGTACTGAGAATGGAGGTTAAAACAGCTGTGTATACCCTGAAGCTCTTGAGTTTATCGATTAATGAGAGTCAACTGAGATGAGACATCGCCAGATTTCTCTCGGAAATATTGAGAGATGCTCGGTGGAAAGAAGTCAGCTAAAATTATAGAACCCGTCCGCATTCATTTCTTATACTGTCAAAATCAGATCTCGAGAGAAACACTAAGCTACTCATGGTTCCACATCAAGCATGAGAGAACAAGCTTCATTTAACGACCTCAACGTTACAATACTAGATTTATACTGAATCAAGATATATATATATATATATAAATATATTATTGATGGGTCACGCCCAGTAAAGTGTCTTTCAATCAACCAGACTTCCACTTGCCTCACTTCAAACCAATACACCGGGTAGGTGAACGCCATTACATAGACATAGTTGAACCACCAAAAGGAGTGATACCACCTTAAGACCTAAGGTTAATGTAAATTTGGTATATAGCAGACTGACCAACATATATCTGTCTCGATGAGTTAAACTACCCAATGCAACTCTCTTGATTCAACAATCCTGCACGGATACTCACAAAACAACCACTTATAAGATCAGATATCATAGAATGTATCACCATACAGTCAGAAATATGACATCTGAACATCAAACACACAAAGATAGCAGTACACGATAAGGCTTTTATGAGAGATTCGTTGGAAGCCTAGTGAGCATGAGGATCTTACAAACTGGGGCGATCAGATCAGAAGATCAGATAACAACGGATCCCGACAAATCTTACACGGAAAGCGACTAACAAGATGTTGCAACAGTTGCCAGCAAGCTCTATAGCTCATACAAAACCATTGTCCAACCAAGTTCTGTACACGCCATCAATATCGGACCGAAACTACAGTAGAAAATTCTTGTTAGCACGCTTTTTTCTTCTTTTTCTTTTTCTTTTTCTAGAAGCCAACAAGAGCAAAGTCTTGTTTTGTTGAAAGCATAGACGCCCTCAAGTACCGAAGCTAAGAAGCATCGCTGCAACTTGACAACACAGCGGAGGTATGTGTCCGTATCCCTACCGTAGAGGTATTGACCAGCGGCGTCCATTAAAGATTGACCATGTTTGATAAATAGATCCGCTACTTTGACTAGTGGGTGCAAGAGTCTCGGTTTCAGACGGCTCAGTTTCACACTACCTATTGTAACTAGGTGCATATAGCTACACACAGGCTTACATCAGGATGTAATCTATTATTTGCGCATTTACGAGTACTGCAGCGGATATACGTACACAAACAAAGTGAGACAAAAAGAAGGCTGCAGATCAAATGCGAATTATTTGTTGAGTCTCGGAAAACGAAAATTGAATGCCTGGTGCTACATTCGGAAGTCGATTGATATGGTCTCGAATATCCGAGTTCTCGACCGAGCCTTCTTCTTGTATCCGAACCGACGACAACCCCCAACCTAGACTAAGGGAGACGCTAAGAGTCCAAGAGTCTAAGAGAGCGGCTAGTGGGGCACTAAGGAGGATCATTTGAACGAGTGTAATTGCGATGAACTCTTTTGCGGTGATAGAACCGAGTGTAGATATATGCTATCCTACGGTACCTATATATGAACAGTCTATACTGAAGTCTGCTTCACAAAACCCAGCACCAGGGTCTTGGTTTAGGAAACTAATGTGAACGAGAGCCTAGACAGAGGTGTCATGGTTTCTCAACGCGACAAGCTCAGAGTTGAGCTACAATGGTGCCGGGCTTGAGACAGTCTAATTGCTATGTTCCGCTGATAACCAGGCTTCGTAATTTAGTCATATCAACATGTCAACAACTCACGAGTTGTGTTGTACGTACAGTATAATACAGTACAGTACAGTATCGTTGTATTGTGCGTGCTGCATTCGATGTGCCGGCTGGTCTCCCGACTTCCCAGCTGTCATGTCACCCAACAGTAGTAAAGGGCCGACCCGAGGACGTGTGTGCACTAGATCAATTCGTATTTGCAACGAAGCTCTATTGTACGCTGACAGATGCTATTTCAGACTCACTCAATTCTTCGCGAGAGGGTATCAAAAACTTGTTCTTTGCCTGAGACAAATCCCAAGACATTTTCTTTGGTGGAGAAAGAAACCGGAACTCAAAGACCGGCTTGTCAAACCAAACCGGTCCGGGACATGGCATGGCATGGCATATGCACGATATCGACCATCATGGCATGGGTATGGTACAAGGACATGGGTATAGAGGGCCATCGTACGGATAGAGATACTAGTCATCAACATCGTACTGATTGAGTATCATACATACCCTTTCCATTGATCAAGTCGATCGGCTATGTTGATGTACAATGAGATAAAAGACCACAAGTGAAAGGCTAGACTATCAAATACAAAAGAAGGCCTCTGAAAGTCATGTACTATGTATTAACCCTATGACTATCCATATAATCAATCATTGAGACATCAGAGCCTCACTCATTCTAGTGCCTCCAACACCAATGTCCCCCGCGCTTAATTAGAACCCATGGCCATGCATATTCTACAGCGCAGTGCATTTCCAAGACACAAGTAATAAGTCTTGCTGTGTCTCTCCTCTGTCTTAGATCCTTGAAACCAAGCGGTTTATCCTGCTGAGTAAGGAGGACGTGGTCGACAACCTCGGCCTTTTTTAAAAATTCTCCCCAAGGGTATCCGTAACTCGTGCAACTATTTTACCGCTTTCTTGTTTCTGAGCTATAAGTCTAGTGTCATCCATCCCGTCTACTAGTGTACCTCCTATGACTTTTCTTCTTCTTCTTTTCCTTCTGTGCCATTGAGAACTTGGATTTCTTACATAGAAACTATACTATCCATCCATATACACATATTGCTTGATACACGCCATGGCGACCCCCTGCAGCAGCATCATCCAACAGCTCATCCGTACCGAAGAATCAGAATTCAAGGGCATGATTCGTCATATATCCGATCACAACCAAGATCAGACTATTCCATCCATCACAACCATCTCCAACCAGGCCCGAGTTTATACTTCATCTCTAGGCCAATTAGACTCCCTCCCTGCAGAGCTTCTCCTCTCTGTTATTGATCTTCTCGATTTCCAATCTCTGTCCCGTCTCTCGCGAGTTTCTCTCCTGGGCAAATATGTCATAGAGGATCTGCCAGCCTATAGGGACGTGGTTGAGCATGCTCCCGAGGCGCTGGTCGCTTTGGGACAAACTCATCTGTTGAGCTATCATCCCGCCACTCTGATTTACTCTACTCTACGGCAGAGCAGATGTGTCTCGTGCTTTGCTTTCGGCGGGTTTCTCCTTCTACCCACTTGTGAGAGGGTTTGTTTCGAGTGCCTGTATGAGAACCAGTCTCTTCGAATGACTTCTCCGGCCATGGCGAAGCAATGCTTCGGTCTCACAGATCAGGATCTCGAGCGGATTCCTGTGATGCACAGTGTCCCTGGTACCTTTGGTCTGAGGTTCCAGTTCGCCCATAAACAGGTAGAGCACCTGGTTAGTGTTAAGCAGGCAAAGAAGCTTGCGCTGGAAGTACACGGCTCAGCCGAGAACCTGGCCAAGTTGAGACCGACATATCGCCCTGGCAGAGTATCAATGAAAGATGCTGCTGTATTCAAACACTTTCACGAAGCTTCACTGGACCCTCCAGGCTGTGATCTGTCGAGACTGCCCAGAAAGGCTGAGGTAGTGGAGGACGACTTTGGTGGCATGGCATCAATCCGGTTCCCGTATCTTTCAGACTCTGGTACCGAGAAAGGAGTCTTGTGTCAAGGATGCGTTGTTACGTATAGCCATTATGTGCAGGGCATGCTCCCCCAGCATACACTCTCGCAGCTTGTCCCAGCTGATGTTGGACCATATCGCCCACTTCTCGCGTTATTGACTCGTTTGTGGTCCCAAGAAGGCTTCAGAGAGCACGTGCATGAATGCTATGGTGTACGACGCCTTCTGGGTATGTGAGTGAGTGTCACAATTAGAAGGACCCTCTCAAGCCATAGGTCATTTGCAATGAGCTTCCCGGTCGAATCAGATTCATCTTACGATCGTATTATCTCTTCTAGCTGATGCCCGCAGGTCCTTTACGACCATATAGGGCTATCAGTTCTCTAACCTACGCCTCCCTCCTTGTATTGTTATGGCCATTTATGCTCAATGTGTCATGAGGGAAACTCCCCAAAAGCCCATTAGTATTTACGATTAGCCAGCATGTTTGTGGTTTTTTTTTTTTTTTT